AATTATTTTTATTAATTCTTTAATAAATTTCTCGTAATATTCTCACTCTATTGTTTATCTATCAAACTTTTATATTAAATTACTTTTATTTTTAAATTTTCGGATTGAAATAGAGTGATATAAAAAATCCAAATGGAATGAGTATTATATATATATTTTTAAAAAAATAAAAATTAAATTAAATTTTAAAAACCCTAAAAATCTCTATTTATACGATACTAAATAAGCTAAGGTTGAATAGAAAAAATGAATTTGGTTGGGTCGATATTTTCAAGCGAGAAGTTGAACAAACATACCTCAAGATATTTAATTAGAGTTACTTTTATTTTTTATTTATTTTTTATTTTTTATATGAATTGTTTTTTTGGGGATAATTAAGTTGACAATATATATATATATATATATTATTATCATACGATTTTAATGCCCACTTGTGTGTCTCTATCGAATTGACTAATACTCTCTACACAAATAACAACAACAACAACAACAATAATAATAATAATAATAATAATAATAATAATATTATTATTATTCCGACATATATACATCCATACGCAATTCTAATTGCAATTTCCATACAGTTGAATTTATGACCGTGAGGTTATGTGTTCAAATTTCCGACGTCTCAGATTACTTACCACACATGGCTCGTCCAACGTGACTTTTCTATGTTTAGTAAAATATTACAAATTTCTTTTTATATATTTTTAGATATCATATTAAATATTTATTTTATTCAAAAGACTATTTTCATTTAACATTGTTACATTTAAAATACCCCAAAAATCCAAAACATTCTAAAATACAAATAAATTAACTCTATGTTATTATTATTATTATTCAATCTTCACAAATATTGGAATTAAAAAAAGTATTGAGGCAGCGAAAGTTGGACCTTAGCTGTTGATGTAAGGACGAATCACATTTATTGGGGCATACAATAAATACATAAATGCGGTCGGCTCTTCTTCCTTTTCTTTGGCCCTACCTTTTTTATTAGAGTATTTTTCTTTATATTATTATTATTATAATATATATATATATATATATATTGTGAATAGAAATGTTAAATGAGCTCGACTTTAATTTATTTACTGTACATACTCGACTCGTTAAGAATCTGAACGAAAATAATTACTCGAACTTAGCTCATTAAGCTCAAATTAAAACTCGAGTTCGATTTGTAAGGCTCAAAATTGAGTTCGAATTTGGCTTGAATTTTATATATATTCTAGATGTTTTTTTTTAATATATAAAATAAATACATATGATTTTATTCATAATTTTTCATAATAAAATATTAGAATTTTATTAATAAATACTTTTTTTGGTATAAAAATTATATATATATATTATATTAACATATATAATATAAATATATTATCGATAACTAGTTCAATTGAGTTATTGTATGCATGCTGAGCTTAACATCAACTATTCGTTTCCAGAAAAAATAATTTTCAAAGCTCAAGTTCTATTTATTTATCTCTATAAAAGAGTCAAATCGAGTTTGACTCACAAACTATTTGATTCATTTAATAGCTTTATTTATAAAATTAAAATTAGAACTTCTTGAAAAAGTAACTCGAGCGTCGGTTGAATTCGAGAGTGAATATATATATATATATATATATTTATTTGATGTGTTCTTTGTAATTAATACTTGAAAATATTAGTAAAAAAATATGCAACTCAAACATAAATTATTATGATCAAATTGGGTTAATAAATTTCTTTCAATCCTGTGTGTTTTTTTTGATCAATTTCTTGAATTTTCAATTTCAGCAACATATAACCATTAACCATACACATATTATGTTATTTTGTACGTCTAAAAATAATAAATATATATATTTTTTATTTAGGGTACTGGCAATTAGCTGATAGCTGATTCAATTAGAGGTTAGCTGATAGCTGATTTGACTAACTGATTCAATTAGCTGATTTGACTAACTGATTCAATTAGCGGTTTGTATTAAAGTGTTTGGTAAAACAACTGTTTGACATTAGCTGTTTATACATAAAATGACTATTAAAGACATTGATATGTTATTTTTTAAAATATTTAATTTTGTTCATTTTGGTTTGAAATTTATTAGAATTTTTGTTATTAATTATTGAAAATTATAAAAATATTATAAAATATTTATTTGTATTTTTATTATTTAGATCCAAGAAAATTATGTTTACTAAAAAATAATAATTTTTTATTGAAATTATGTAAAATATAAAATAATAAATATTTCGTATATATATTTTTATTATGTTAATTATTATTTTAATATATAAATAAATTAATAACCTTTGTTTTTTCTATTTGATTTAGTTTTAAATTATATATTTTACAAATAAAATAATTTATATCTAATAATTAATAATAATAGTTATTTTAAATTTACAAAAATAAAAATAAAAATATAATTTAATAAATTAAATATATTAAAAATAATTAATAAATACTGCTATAAAAATATATTTATATGTAAAAAATAAATAATTAAATTTTAAGGGTAAATAAGGAATAATCAAAATTAAAATGAAAAAGTTCTTTCAAAACGTTGAGTAGATGAGCTTTTCAGAAATTAACTTTTTGGGTCGAAAAAGCTCTTTCAAAAAGCTAATTTACCAAACACCTAAATTAACGTTTTGACTGGTCAAACAGCTAAAAGCTGTTCAATAAGCTAAAAGCTCTTCAAAACGTTGTTTCCCAAATACCCCCTTAGTAAGCATGAAATTGTCAATATTAATAAAATTAAATAGTACTACCTCCGTCCCACATACAATGTCTTCTACACTGTAGATACAGTATTTTAGCAGGGATATAATTAGTAGATAATTAAAAATATATTAATAAAAATAATTATCCTATAATATAAATAATTATAAATTAAAATTAAGAAAACTAATTAGTTTAATTAAAATTTTAAAAAAAAAATTTAAAAGTTTAAAATGAGATTAAAGTGTAATAATTTTTTTAAAAAAAACAGTGACATGGTATGTGAGACGGACAGAAACGGCAACGTGGACATGATATGTGGGATTTAGAGAGTATTATTTAGTATACAAATATAAAAATATTGATTGTACATATTTAATAATTTTTATTATATAATTTTCGATTAATATTATTTAAAAAAATATAATAGATACAAATAATTATATATTATAAAATATATATATATTATGTTTTCTTTAAAAAAAAATCAATATAAAATATTATCGATATGATTTTTCTTATATAACATAAATATATATATTTTATGAAAATACAAAATGAACAAAATAATTAAGGCAACTTCCTTTTTCTTTTTTTTTTTTATTGTGTGTTTTTTGGTATTTTATTTCAAAATTTTATGAAATAAAATAATACAAATGTTTTTAAATAATAATAATAATAATAATAAATAGTAAAAATGGCTTTTTGCATGCATGAGAGGTCGGATAGAGAGAGCTACTTATCCAAATCTCTCACACTCTATACATAATCCCTATGTCTATTGTATAAGGTGTGTTTACTTTTTTTTTTTTTTGGAAATTATAAAATATTACTCTCTTCCGTTCGATTTCTATTATCCTAAAGTATATTTGCACAATTTTTTAGGTGATTGTCTTTTTTTATGAATTAATAAATTTACCTTTAATTGTATGGTATAGATTAAAAATAATAAATGAATGAAGGGTAAAAATATAAAATTTGTGTTTAAAAAAGAAAATATGACAAAAATTATTGAAAGTCCCAAATAGAAAAGTAGGACATTAGTTTGTGGACGGAAGGAGTAATATTTTGAGTGTGTTTGGTTAATGAGAAGATTTTCCAAGATTTTAATTATTCATCAAAATTCTACTTAAAAAAAGATAAAAAAATCAATCACTAATTTTTTTATTTTTTATATTATATTATAGTATTAAAAATTATTTTTATATTCAAAATATCATATCAAACACCTATTTATATCACATCATATAACTATTTCAATTTAAAATTCAAATCTCCACCAAAATTATATAATTTAGATATAGGATATGAATTGTATGTATATATATTATCTTTTCAATAGTAATTTAAATATGATATTGCATAAGGTGAAATAATAATATTTTTTTCTATAAAAAACAATAATTTGTATAATAAAAAATTAAAATCATTCAAAAACACACACTATAATATACCTACCGAAGGAATGTAGTTTAAATTTAGTTGGGACGAAGGTGAACTACACATCTTTCCCCCAACTAACACACATACACATCTTCCATCCCGATTTCTTTAAATACCATAATTTTTTTAATTAGAGTCTGTATAGAAATTATCTCGTAAGTAAATTTTTATTATTTTTTTACAATTAATCCTCAATCACTGGAGATGTGCATGATGACACTTATCTGATACATAGAAGTTCACGTAATTTTAATTTTTTATGATAAAAAAATAAGAAAATTAAATGAATAATTTTTTTTCTTTCTTTTTCCTCCAAAATATTATAGTATTAAATATTATTTTAATAAAAAATTTAAATCTCTAAACTCAATAAAAATACATTTTGGTCCGCCATGCTTTGATGCAATTACTTGATTTCCGTGTAATATATATATTTTGAATTTTAGTATTCCCCCTTCCACCATTTCTATAAAAGAAGTCGGCTTAGGGTTTCAACAAGTATTCAAAAAAGTCTTGTTGACGGTCGAGGTTTGCGATCCTTACTCTTGAAAGGACTTCAGACTATCGTGTGCGGTATGTGCGTGACCCTTGATGAGAAGGCCGACGAGTTGAAGATGTACTCGTAGTCCTTAACCTTGAGAGGTTTTGGACGGTCAAATATCGATCGTAGGCCAATAAATGCATATGATTCTTAGCTTCGGAGGGCTTTGGAAACCTATATAAACTGATAGAGTCACACTAAGTGAACCATGTGTGAAATGTAATTTTAGGTGTCGGGAGTTTGAACCTATGACGACGTTACAGTCACAAATTCAACTTCTACACCACCAGACCATCCTCAACGAAATTCCTCATTTTTTAATCCTTGTCCAAAGTTTCCAATGTGGTCCCACTCAAATTCTACTAAATACATGGCATAGTTTTCAAGCCCTCAAAAGTCATTTGTCACCATTCTTCCCTATAACCTTTTTTGACATTACCATTAACCTGCTGCAACCATACATAATAAATAATACTAAAAAATATCTAAACTTATTATTATTCTTAAATATATAAGAAAAATGAAAAAAGAGAGGTTTGTCCTAATTATATCACTCAGAAAAACGTAGAAGCCAAGAAACGGCGTCAAATCTGACCCGAAACGGGACGTCATCCGGAACGGAGTAACTCAACGGCGTGCAATTATTGAAGCAAAAATTAAAAATAATCTATATATTATAACAAAAATGTTTATTTAATTAAATAAAAAACCACTTTGGAAATAATTAATTATCAAATTTAATTCATAATTACAATTACTGATTATAATAATAATAATTATCAACTTTATTATATACAAAGTAACAGTTCCTTTAGGAATCCGTCGGGTTTCCGGTCGCCGGAGCACAAAAAAAAAAATTTTCCCGTCCCGTTTCACGAATCAATGATGACGTCATCGCCGGCGATGGTAAAAAAAATCAGAAAGCATTCGACACGACGGACAGCCGACTCGGGCGGCGCCGGAAGTCGCCGCGGCGGCGCTGGTGGTGGGAGGAGGGTCGAATCAGCGCCGCCAGGGCCCTCTTCATCAGATCGCCTTCGACGGTGCCGATCCGCACCAGCGAATTCTTCATCGCCGACCGCCGCATGTTCAGCCGGACGCCGGAGCCGCCGCAAGCCGCCGCCGGCGGCGGCGAATTGTTTTGGAATCCGCCGCCGGTTTTGTGCAGGCTGCACCGGAACGAGCCGGGATGATTCGTCGGCGAACAGAGGCACGTACGCTTGCAGGGCGCGGCGGCGGCGGCGGCGGTCTTCTCCGGCCTGGTGGAGAACGACAAGGAGCGGGCGGTGGAAGCGGCGGCGGTGGAGGGAGAATGGGCGGAGTACCGGCGGGTGAATCGTGAGGAAGGAGAGATGGACCGGATGACTGGACCGGCCGATCGACGAGCTGCGTAGGCCGCCATAGTTAGCCGGAGCGGTTTTTTTTATTTGGTAATAAAATTGGCAAACAGAGCCTTACTCGGGACAGCTATTTATAATCCCACCAAGGGTTTGCTCACTTTTCTACGGTGACTTTTGTGCCTTCATTAATTGCTATTCAGCCCTCAAACTCTTTGTAATTACTAATTTGGGCGACATCCACAAAACAAATAACCCAACTGTTAAATTTTAAAAATATATATATTATAATTAAAATAAATAATAAGGCCGAAAACCTCTCTATTCTATGATTAAGATACAAGACAACGCCCTCTTTAAAAAAAGTAAATTAAATATCTTATATTTATAAAAATATATTTACTTATTAAATATGAAAATATTAATTTAATTTTTTTAAAACGTTTTTGAACAAGTTCAAATTCGTTCGTGAAAATAACAAGTTAAAATTTATATTTATATTCGGTTTGTTTATCTTAACAAACAAGTTCTTAACGAGCTCAAACGAATTAAATTCGTAAATTGTTTATTTATTTTTCAACTCTATTCCAAATTTTGGCTTAAATAACCAATCAATCATTCGATCAAATACAACATAAACATCTAACACAAACCTAGTATTAAAAATGCGGTTTGTAATAGCTCAGCGCTGAACAACTTCTCAATATCGCAACATCAGTGTCTTCGTCATTATTGTGGGCATTTAATCTTCAAATTTAGATGTTTTGAATCGTATCTTCAACACTCATCATTTGTACAAAAAGTTCTGCATAAAAAACACAAATAGACAACCTATAAAAATCAATATTCTTGAAGAACTCTAATTGTCTCAAACTAAATTCCTCATTTCAAAACGATTTTTCTCTAATATTGACTTTAATGTATATTATTCTTTGTGAAGCATACTAAATTTTGTAGTCGAGAGTCTAATATCTATTTGAGAGTGAAAAGTATTCAATTGACAATGAATTAACCATTTATCTTAATCAACTCAATAGTCTGTCTGCCTAATATTTCAATGGATATTGTAATATTATTGGATATCAAGTCAAAAAAACACCTGAATATAAAGAAAATTTAACCAAAAATAAATACAGGAAAAAGCTTCGGGATCTTGTAGATAACCAGAGCCTTTCGAAGTTAGAGACCCCTACTTGCCAATCAGTAAGACTCCAAATAATGAGACTCTAGACGATCGAACTTAAAAAAAACGATTTCAGAAGATAAGACTTCGAAAGAAAAGACTCGTAAACGAAGATGGAACCAGAGCCCCCAAACTATGAAACTGTCCAGCAATAAGGCCCAAAGCAAGTTGTGGTCAGTTAAAACTCAATTACAATACCAAAAGATAAGAAAAAAAAAAAAAAAAAACACGACATGGATTCATGAAGTGAAGACGTGACTTGAACGAATAACTAATCTAGGAAGTTGTTACATTTTCAATTCTTAAGGTATATTTAGTAAAAACTTACACGATGCACACACACACATCTTATTCAAAATTAAGCTTTATCATTTTACTTTCCTAGTAACTTATCCGTAGATTTTTAATTTTTATCAAATTATGTTAATTTCAACATATTTTATGTTGACAAAAGTTTTCATGCATATTTTATTCGATTTTTTTATATATTTTAATCGAATTTTCTCAAATTCAGTCGTTAAGACTCGACGTCGTGCAATGGCTCTATTGCTAGAGCCGCCTTCTAATCCGATGACGGACAAGCTTTGTGGAGTGCTGTCGAGACTCACACTACTTGATCTTTAAATGCACTAGAATAAAGTTAAAGCCGTTTAAAAAAATTTAAATTGGAGCCTCACGAAAATAAGGTGTATTGGTTGTTATTTTAATTAAATTTACCATTATTAATTTTGGTTCATACCGTTGTTAATAAAAATATATTATTTTTTATAAAATATTATTTAAATAAAAATTCAAACCAAATACCTTATCTCAAATTAATTTTAAATTATAAACAAAAATAATGTTTTCTAACCTAAACAAATAAATATATTTGCAATAGACAATACATCCCGTCATCTTATTTCCGTTCCAGATACCGTGTCTGCTACACTGTAGACACAGTATTTTAGGAGAGGTGTAATTAGTAGATAATTAAGAATATATTAGTGAAAATAATTATCATATAATATAAATAATTATAAATTAAGATTAAGTAACTAATTAAGTAACTAATTAGTTTAATTAAAATTAAAAAATAAATTAAAAATTTAAAATAAGATTAAAGTGTGTAATTATTTTTCAAAAAAAGAAAGTGACATGGTATGTGGGACGGACAGAAAAGACAACGTGGACATGGTATCCGACACGGAGGGAGTATTTTTATTTTAAGATGCTTTAAAGTATTTACAATTTTTTTATTTATACTTTCATCCTTTATTTGTATTAATATAAAAAAAACTATCAAAATTTTATCATTTAAAAAATTATATTAAATTAAAAAATTAAAGAATAAATTAAGACATTAATAAATTACTATTATTCTTCGAAAGAAGGGAGTCTATTTAATGCGGAGGAGGCATATTATAATATAAATAAATAGTCTTAAAAAGGGAGAGGTATATTGGAAAGTGTGGGCAGACACAGGCACGTGCTGCAAAACGACAGGGTGCTGCGTCGTTTCATCACTACCTAATTTAGATGCACTCCACGTAACCCTTCTCTTTTTGGTGACACACCCTCTATCGATTCCACGTGCCTGCCTTTTCTATTTTTTAAAATTCAATAATCATAATAATAATAATAATAATAATATTTAATATATTAATTTTAAATATATTTATAATAATATTAGTCATTCTTAAAATATTCCTTTCATCAATTAAAAAAATACTTCGGATCCGCTAAAAAATGACGTAAAGTCTGTTTGGTTCGATGAATTTGAATTTAAGAATAAATTTTAAATAAAATAAATAAATTTAAATTACTTTAATATTTTATTTTAACATTTTTTATTGTAGTATTAATAATTAACATCAATTTTTATTTTTTATTTTTTAAAATAATAATTTCATCGTGTTACTAAATACTCCCTTCGTCCCATAACCAATTATTTATTTCTTTATTTTTGGCCCCTCCCATAATAAAGCATTAATTTCTTTTTTTAATAATTGTAGTATCTACCTAACACTACAAATACTCTGACAACTTATAATATATTACACAAATATCATTATTTTTATATCACATAATACTAATAAAGTTATTTTAATCATTTCTATTTTATTTATGCTATATATAATATAATATTAATATACATGTAAAAAAACAAATGAATACTTATGGGACGGAGAGAGTATTACTGCTCACATAATTGTCTACTTTTCTATGTTTATTTTAATTTTAATTAAATTATTTAATTATTTTAATCTTAGTTTATAATTATTTTTATTATATAATAAATATTTTAAAAAATAACCTTATTAAACTCCATTTGGTGGGAAAGATTTGGCTTAAAGATATTTCAAATAATTTTATTAAAAATCCATTAATTCTTTTTTTTTTTTTTTGGCAATAATGTAGATTTAAATTTTCCTAAATTGATTGTGCATTTAAATATATATTTCATATACTTATGTTGTATTTTAATTATAAAATAATTTTAAATATTATTTATGTACACAGAATCTATAACGTTTACTAACACAATGTATGTATTATATATATATATTTTAATTATTTTCTAAGGTGCATGCATATGGGGTTTGTCGCATTTCCCCTATTTTGTGTTTATTATTTTATACATTGATTAATGATTGGAAATTATTAGTGGCATATTTCGACTATGACGTTCATTTATTTGTATTTTAAATAGTTATCAATTTTAATTTAAGTATCATTTTAAAATTTTAAAAAATAATTAATTTAAAATTAGATATAAATTTATCTTCTCATCGTTTAATTTCTATCATCAATTCAAACCTAGTCCATTAAATGATTTTTTAAAGTTTGAATTGATGCTGTTCTTCGTCAACTACTTTACATTCGTTGCACATAATATGAATTACATGTTGTATTTAATAAAAAAAAATTGTAGGAATTAGGTAAATAAATAAATAAATTCTAAGTAAGAACATAGCCCATATATATATATTATATTATATTTATGGCATAAGAATCCGGAATTACTATTTTTCGAATGGACTTTGGGTAAACCCGACTAGCAGCGACTATCTATTTGGGGTAGCTAACCTTCAGCCTCCAACATATATGTATTTATTTGGGTAAAAAATAATAAAATTATATAATTTTAATTAATTTGGCCTCCTTTTAATTTTTTATTTTATAGTGTAAAAAATAATAAAATTTTGTAATTTGGTTGATATGCACTTTTGGTCTTTAATTTTATTATCATTTTTTTAAGTATAAAAGATTAGATTTTATATAATTTTGTAGAATATTTCTCAAAATATTTAATTTTTCTCGATTCCGTCGCTGCTGACCGGATCTAATAACCTGCAAACTAGATCCGATTCCGATAAATCAAGGAAGGAAGACGTACACTATGGAGTGTGAAGTGGATGTGATAGTGATCATCATGATCATGTGGGGTGGTTGGTGTGTTGTGTATGACTCGATTTGCAAATTGGATGACTCATTCTTGGATCATTTTGTTTTTGTGTTTTTAATGATTTTGGCAAATATTGATTCAAAACTATGTCTATATTCATACTTCTAAATATTCTAGTGTGTATTTGATAAATTCCTTATCCAGCATAATAATTTGTAAATTATGTCAATAAAGTAAAATATATTCGACAAATCGTGTGTGATAGGTAATGCCAGTGATAGGTAATGCCAGGAAAGTGTCAACGAGTTTAATTTCATCTTGCATCTGCCCACCCACGGCCAACTTAGTCATCCCTTACAGGCATGTTTTATAATTTCTTGATTTGTAAAACATTTCGTCGAGGATTTTTTTTTTTTTTTTTTTTATGCATATAATGATATAGATTATTGTTCCTCCTCGCCAACAAATTCCCCGACTCTTTTAGGAACTTCACTCTGTTTGAATTTATTTCTTTAACTGATACGATTTTTCATTATATCATCATTGGATAGATCTATTTTGGGATGATCGATCGACGGGGATTGAGTGAGCATTATTGACATGTACCGGTTAGAGAGAATTGATTTTTGATTTTTTATTTTTTGAAATTGACTTTTTCTCAAACGTAAAAATTGATAACCAAATTCTATAGTAAAGGAGAAGTTAAAAAAATAGTAGACATATAACGACAAGTCCAAATTTTGTTCTTTGATTTTGTGTTTGTGTTTTATACTAGGATAATAGTTATATATCAAATTTTTGTGAAAGAAAATATTTTCTAAAGAATTGTAAAATTTGTATAGTAAAAATTCGAGAAAAAACAAAAAAGCTCGAAGTAGATAGATTGGAAACAAAGAGAATTTAACTGAATTATCAAAGTAAATTGATTTTCTAAATTTGTTCAAAAGGACTTAGAAACTATGAGCTGATGGAAAAATTCCAATGACTCCATTTGAATCTAATATGCAAGTATACTTTAAATTATAGAAATATATATATATATATATATATATTGATAATCACACTAGTTGAATAAGTTGGATCAGAAAAGTTGTATATGACAAATTCAATCAAGAAGATATCTACATGATTTGAAACGATCACATGTTATCTTACCACTCCTTACGTGGATATATATATATATATATATATTTAAATTGAGGAATTGCAGCTAAATCACTAGTTTTTAATAGAAATAAATTAAAGGGTATATTTGCTTGCAATTTTCAATTCATTATTTGATTTTTATTGTTCAATTTTACTACTGTTTTACATCAAAGAAACAAGAAAATGAAAAAACAAAAATTGAAACCTATAAAACACAAACAAAACAACATGCCATTCACTCAAAATTCACATCAAGCTCGGTTGCAAATTCCCATGTTATTAAAAAAAAAAATTCACATCAAGGTAATTTCAAAAAATTTAAATATTATCTAAAATCGATGCACATCAAAAGCATAGCTTAAACAAATAGGTACAAATCAATGATCAATAGTAAGTCAAAATAGCATGATAGAATTATAAAGATACTAAAGAGAAGATGAAAATCTACCTGAGAGTTAAGAAAAAATAGTCCCGTCAAAAAGCGCCTTTTCCGAGTTCGAATCCAGCAATTTCACAACCCTATTGCTGAGAAAATAATGGCTTTTTACCAAAGTTAGAACTTCCTATTAATCTTATCAAGGTATCAGCAATCAGGTCATCACTGATCTTACTACAAGAATGATGTTTCCTTGCTTGAAATCCGAATGCAAATAAATCAACTCACAACAGTTTTATAATCCGAGGCCAAGGTTGCCGTGGATTCAAACATGATGCAACACAAATGCAGTGATAAATAGCCCCAAATTGTGAAAGCATAGTAGATCGAGCAAGTGGGGTGTTTTATTTGCATATTCATATCCCTTCCACATAACATATATAGGGTCACTGAAAGAATCTCGGATGTTAACTACGTGCTTCGCCATTGTAGAAATATCATATTAAGGGGTATTGCAAATCAAGTTAGGTGTCACACATTGCAGACCATGACACTACAAGCATAAGTTTACTCGGCAGAAAGATGATCCTCATAATCGTCATTATGTAAAATGACCAAAAACGAGAGATCTTTGAAAAGAACACTATAGCAAATTACTTAAACTATTAGATATGTAGCCATCCAAAGTCGATAAGATGATATTGCATTGGTGTTATAACATATTGGAAAACTGGAAATGCAATACCAAATAGGTCTGAAGAGTACATGTCCTCCAGGTTGAGTCGCATCGATTGGATGAATAAATGAAATATTCTTAACTTTCATTTCGACAACCGGAATTTCCTGTATGGCCTTCCTGCATCCTCATCTTGCATGTGCTGCACCAAAATTCCAATGCGCAAATAGTTAATATAAATGGGACATTGTGATTAACGCTGCAAAAAATACTTGGAACCAGGGCTTGGGACAAGACGCTAAGCAAACTACAACCAATATATCATCCAACTTATCAGTATGAATAAAATAATGCGCCTAGAGAGTATATTTAATTGTGCTGAGTTATAATGGTGTAGAATATTTAAAAACTTCTTTGATGCATTCATTAATCTAGAACAATGAATCTATTCGATCTTAACAATCCACCGTGGACTTGAATAGTATATAAAGGGTCTCCGTATCTGTAAATCATCAAAAACGTTTTAACTACTTTCTACTTTCTAGCTTGGTGTGGGAGTGTTGAAAGAAACAGGAGTTAATTCAAGAAATTAAATAAATCTCTAACACAATGTAGTGTGATTCGCATTGTTGACTTCTTAACCACCGAAAAACATCCTCCAATGTGTCTATTCGTTTTACTTGTTGGACTTCTTTGCTTTCTTTTTAATTTGCATCTCTGAAGTTGACGATGTAGCAGCAATGTATGCCTTTGGATCAATATTTTCACCAGATTTCAACTTCTTTAATTCTTTGGCTTTTTTCTGCATAACAGAATACTGAAGAAATTAACGCACATTATCCCATTATCCCAAGAATCAGATAAAAGTGAAATAATGAAATCGCAATTACCTTCAGAGACAATGCTGTTTGAGCCACATCAGAAGCATGCTCCTTCATTTGTTTTGTGGGTTCCTGAAAACCAAACCAACAATCATTATCAGAATTAAACTAAAAAAAATAGGGCTTACAATCTACGATTGACATGGAATTGGTAGATCAAACCTCGGGTGGAATAAATGCCTCTTCACGTTTCCTTTTACTTTCAGCTGTTTTCTCTGCTTGTTTCTCTTGTTTCTCCAACCATTTTTGGGTCTGCTTCTTCTTATCACTAAGGAAATACTCTCCACTTTCGAGTTGCAAATCAATCTGAATTTATTCGAGATTTCCAAGAATATCAGAGAATAATAAATAAATAAATAAATAATAGGAGTAACAGGTCTGTCATACAACCCATGTCAAAAAGTTCTTGATACCCCAATCTCATAAGCAACAATAATTGGAAATCACACCACGGCAAGTACAATATTTCTTTTCTTTTTTTTTTTTTTTTCCATACCTATTCACTCTTCTATATGGCCATAAAAGCAACTAGATTGAGAAACAGATTTTAACCGTAAAAAAGTCAAGGCAAAAGTCAAGTTTATACACAGTGTTCAGCTAGACAATTAACAAGGAATGATGGTAGTCGCCATATATTATATGCATATAAGCCCACAAGCCAAAACATACCTTGCTTGGTGGCTGTGGTGGAGGGAAAGGAGTGTAAGGTTTCTTCTCTTTAGCCTTAACTTTCTTCTGTTTCACATTTTTTCTGGGAAACAAAAGGTGGGGATATCAAATCATTTCAAACCAATGGAAGAATTAATTTACCATCACATTTCAGCGGGGTATTAATGACTGGATGACATACTTTTTGAAAGATGGAAGAAATCTAGCCCAACTTCCGTTTGCCAGTTCAGGATGTTTTGCTAGTTCCCTCTTCATCATTAGAATCTGACGCCATTGAATGTGAGGTTTCAGTGTATACGGGAAAACACTCACTTTAGATCCATTAACAAAATTCTAAACTAACAGGCAAGATGGCAGAAAATGTTACCTTGACACTCTGTACGGGATGCATTTTATTTAGCATGCAGTCTTCAACAACCTTTCTTGCTTGTTTTACACCTTTATATGAACCCATGACAGCTACTGTGTTTCCCTAATCATTGTAATAGTGAAAATATTCAATTAGGTTCACCTAATTATGCTTACAAATGAAAACATAAGTATTTAATTGATTAGTAAATAACACTTCACTATAATCTCCAATTAAAGATTCAGACATGGTGAATACTGACCTGAACCAGCATGTAGCACTCAGTTAAAATTTCCAGTGCCTGCATTAGTTCAGCAATTGTTAAGTCATTGGAAAACAATCGGAAATGAAAAGAAAAATCGGAAATTAATATACCAAATTTGTAGTGCAAACATTGAATCAATATAAATTATAGTTCGTTTCCAATTTCCACAACCCCCTTTCAGTATTTTTTTTATTGATTCTATTCCTTGCTTTAATTCAGAAGATCACTAAATATGAAGATGAACTTCAAACCTTCAAAGTATAAGAGTTTGGACCAAGCAAGTTTTGTCTTCTTTTCACAAATCGTTCCTGCATTAAATATAAGAAAATAAAAAGAACATTTATTATGTCGATAACAATATTGAATTATAGGAGATATAGGTTCTTATAAGACAATGTCATTTAATTTTTTCATTTAAACACCCTTAGATTCCTAAGAATCAAAGGCTCTTATACCTTTATAAAACTTATTTTGGAAATAAATGGAAAATCAGTTGGGCTATAATTGTTATGATAAAGAATAGTTAGCTGCATAATGATCATATAATGGAAAAAGAAAACCTTATTGCGAACAAGGCTGCCAATCTTGATGATGTCACATTGCATCTCATCATTGAGAATCTTTATTGCCTGTAGGAAATATAGATCATGAGTTCAAATGAAAGCATTCAAGAAGCATTGATATCATCAAGTTTCGATTCAATCAAATACTAAGCAAATATATTCAAAGCTTGCTAAGAAAAGCATTGCTATCAGCAAGTATCATACAACAAAAAGCTGTTAAAAGCTTCATATAGGCTATATATTAAAGAAAATTATAATCCGTGCAATAAAAGCAGAGAATATTGTATAAGATGAAAATAAGCAATTACATAAGAAAAAAGACATGCTATGCTAGCTACCTGTGGAGCAGGAACACTTCTCGAAAGAAGTTTTATGAGATCTCTGGCCTTTACTATTATATAAGGATCTCGTGTCTTTCTGGTAGTCCAGACAGTCATGCTTCCTTCAACCTAAAGACAGCGGCAACACAAAAAACTTCTCTATCTTCCAGTGATCGATGGAAGGATCATCCCAAGGCTTGTCTTTGTCATGCTTACCTTTGTGTTTGGCCTGAGGCTTCTCACTGCCTTCGCGATAGACTTCGTTGTTTATGTCAGAGGATTCAGCCATTTGACTCTACTTTCGATTCCGTTCGAGCTATGAACATAAACATAAATATGACCTCAAGGCACTCAAAGTGGCAATTTACATTATTTTCAATAATGTAAGCTTTATTAAGACAAAGGCTTTCCAAAGAATTTTGAACTTTTGAAAATAGTAAAAAGTTACTAACCGAGAGAAAAATATATTCGATGCGATAATTTTTAAAATGTATTATAGTGTCAAAATCCAAAATGTCAAAAATAAAGTAACAGCGATAGCTTCAGATATCAGAACATGTATAAGATTGAAAAGTAAGCACCTAAACCCATTTCAACAAAAGAATGCAGAAAGACAACAAAAAGCAACCTAATATAACCCTTCGAAAGCAATCAAAAATCAACACAACTAATTACAATCAACATCAAATAATCCAAACCCTAATCACAACAGCAGCCGGCATTGTAAAATTAATAACAACAAATAATTCAAAAATAGTCCAAGAATTGAACTTACAAATTCGGTAGAAGTACAAAACAAGTCGACGACCACGACAGCGAAGCTACACTCTCAGGGATGACGACGTCGAAGACTAGAAACGAATAACACCACGAAGCCAGAAAGAATAAGAAGATAACGGTAGGAAAGAAATTTCAGAACTTGGAAGTCACAGACAGAGAAGGAAAGACGATCGGAGAAGATGATAGCCGGCGAGACCGGAAAGTGGAAGCCGAGAAGTTTGGAATCGGAGGGAAAAAGGCTAAAAATGAATATATATATATATATATATATGATTTTGATTGGCCCGCGGGCTGACACGAGGCCCATTCGGGCTGGCCCGATTAGACCCGCAGGGGAGAAGCTTATCAGAGTGTAGCTGCCGCCAATTGGCCATTGAATCGAAACCATTCCTAAGACCAGCTCAAGCTTTTCTTCTTCATCGTCCATGTCTCTTCTTCTTCTTCTAAATCCGCAACCATCTATGGTCTCCACACTCCAATCTTCCATGCGCCGCACACTCCGTTCCTTCTTCCCCTCACCAATTCAGGTTCGTCAGAAATTGCGTTTCAAGAATTCCAAGCTTATTTCTTTCACCAGAGGCGCCTTCTACTGCACTTGTACCACTGCGGATGCTGCAAATTCAGACTGCTCTCCATTTGTAATCACTACTCCGCTTTACTATGTAAATGCCCCTCCTCACATGGGAAGCGCTTACACTACCATTGCGGCCGACGCCATAGCTCGTTTTCAGGTAATTCTAGAGCCACAGTTCTGTGTTTTGGGGGTATAATCGATTTGGAAGCGACAATTTTGGATATTGAGCAAGTGGTGAATGGTGTGTGTTTGGTGAAAATGGGGTTGGCAGCTTGATTGGATTCCATGGTTGATTATTTGCTTCTGCAGTTATATTTGTTTCCTGATTTCTGCTAGATATGGTAATTTAGAAACTGGAAATTGCAAACATTTAGAGTGGTTTCTTGATGACATGATACAACTGCAGCAGCTTTACAGCTCGTGTATAGACATGTTTTGAAAATTTTGCTTGTTTGGTTTTGATTTGAAATTAAGTTTTTTATTTGAGTTTTGATTTAAATATTATTTTGATTATGATATTTTTGTGAGATGAAATAGTGTTTTTATTGGAAAAATAGTGTTGATTTAGATTTGAAGTAGAAACCAGAAACACCTTTTGAAATTGAGATTTTTATTTGAATATTGGTTTAAATAGTATGTGATGGTTTGTGAAATGAAATACTTCTTCGGCCCCATAATAATAGTCCCATTGGGATTCGGTATGGGATTTAAGGAATAATATCACATTGAAAGTGAGTATAAAGTAGATAGTAAAAGGCTAAAATTTATTTGTGAGTGTATTTGCGGAAAAAGTAATGGCATTTGTATAATAATGATGAAAAAGTAGAGACAGTTATAAGGTAATATGGTTATTTTTGGAAATTGGACTATTATTTTGAAACGGATCGAGAAGTCTATTTTTATTGGAAAAAGGAAAGGAAAAATAGTAATGATTTGGATTTGAAGTAGAAATTGAGTTTTAATTTGAGTTTTAGTTTAAATAATATTTTAATGTGATCTATGAAATATTATATTTTTATTGAGAATCATGTTAAATAGTGTTAATATGGATTTGAAGTGGAAAAGACACCCTTGTAGTTTTCAAAAGTTTTGGGAGAAGAGAAAAATTCAATAAAAGAGAGGTATTTGATGTGGCAAACATACATTTTTCCTTATAAGAAAAGTAGGTTATGGTTTAATAATTTTAATGAAAAATGGTCATCGAACATTATATATTTTAGAGAGGGAATCTGTTATGAATAGTGTCAAAACAAGGTTGAAAACATATGTAAACATACTTCCGTGGATGATCTTGCCAAGTGTTTTGACTTCTTAAAATGCTGAATGAGAACATAAAAATATGATAATTTATATTATACATTTTTGAAGTATAGAGGCTCCTGGGGAAGAGTGTTATATTTGTCACCGGCACAGACGAGCATGGGGAGAAGATTGCTGCAGCTGCTGCTGCCAATGGTTCCAGTCCCGGTGAGCATTGTGATCTAATTTCACAAGCTTATAAGTCACTCTGGAGTGAGGTATTCTCTTTCTCTGTCATATCTTCTATTTTGATGGTTAAAACCGTGTGCATTGGTGTCTATTTTATTCAGCATTTGGACTCCTGTTATTGGCAGTTAGACATATCTTATGACAAGTTTATTCGGACGACTCACCCCGATCATGAAGCCATTGTCAAGGAATTTTACTCAAAGGTGCTCGCCAATGGAGATATTTACCGCGCAGATTATGAGGGCCTGTACTGTGTCAACTGTGAGGAATATAAGGTACTGTTTGGTACCGGAAAAGATATTACATCAAGTCCACATTCATAAGTATCTTCTATTAGCATTCTAGTGTAGTTTAAAGAGCTAGAATTACGTTATTACAGGAAAATGTTATGGTGATCATTCAAAATCATCTATTCTGTTTTGTATGTCACTTAAAAAGGATAGTGTTGCATTGCTATGATAGATTAGACAGAGGTAATATATTGTTATATTTTTATTTTATGAAATCACTTGGTGAGTTTTTATGACTTAGGCGATGCCACTTTTATTTTCAGGAATTCCATTTTGTTGATTTGACATTTTTTGGCTATGTTGATTGGGCTTGCCACTTGGCACTCGAATAGTTTATAGTATTGTCAGTCCTCTTCATGAAATAAACCGTACTTGACTTTTGTTGTATGCTTTTGATGGATCACTGAGAGGAGAATTGAACTGAAATTGATGATTTACATATAGTTTAAGCAGTCTTATAGTTAGCTTCGAAAAACTTCAATGATCTGATTTTGTAAAATTATTTTTGTTTCAACTGTTTGGGTGGTGATTCTATTGACGTGGACTTTGTGTGTTTATAGCATGTATAATGCCATTGTTTTGTAGTGATGAACGAGAGAGTCCTAGAAGCGTGGCTGAATATGTGGTCTGTAAATTAGTGCATCAATTTTTATTTTTTTGGGATTAGTCGTTGACCTGCAATTTTGCCTTTGTAAACCTGTAGGATGAGAAAGATTTGTTGGAAAATGAGTGCTGCCCCATCCATCTGAAGCCTTGTGTTCGCAGGAAGGAAGATAATTACTTCTTTGCTCTATCGAAGTTTCAAAAGCGGTTAGAGGAGATTTTAGCAGATAACCCCGATTTTGTGCAGCCTTCCTTTCGTTTGAACGAGGTTTTTTAGCTATCAAAGGGTTTTTTTTTTTTTTTTTTCTAAGTCTTATGTTCCCCCTATGTTTGGAAATCATTTATACTTGAATCAAGTTTAATCAACCAGATCAATTACAAATTTGTGGGTGTCATAGGGTTGAAGTCTTAATCCTTATTCATGGTAATTAACTATAATAAGATATTGCAAATGAATGTTGGTAGAATTCTGTGTCCATTGAAGTTGAAAAAAATTTGGTATGAATTCATTTATTGCTAAAAGGTGATCAACATCTGCAACCTCAAAGTTGTGGGCATGCTGATCACCAGTATATTAGAAACGTCTTAAATTTGTTGAAGGACCCTATAATGTAAGAGTTGACTGTGATAAAGGTGTATAAGTTTTATTTTATTTTTCGTTTTTAAATGCCTTCTCATCAGCTGACAATGATATTATCAAACCTTTCATAGAAGGATTGTGCTGGAGATTTTGGAATTCTGAGCCTCCTGCTATGATATAATAATGTTACACGTTGTTGAATGTCTGCCCCCTCCATTAAAAGTTTAAATTGTTAAGAGTAGTGTATCTTTTTTATCGTTATGTAGTTTTTAGTTGCTTTAACATACGGAAAAAGGCTCCTTCAATGATACTGCTTTTTGTATTACAAATCTGATTCTGTATGTGGAACAACAATATTTCGAGCATCAGCTATTTGAGTTTCCACCATATTCTCCTGTTGTCTGCCTCAGCTGATGAGCCTTATTCTTTTCAAAATTTTAATTTACAGTGAAAAATCTATCACCTTTTTTTGTATGAAGTCCAGTTGATTGTATATTATAATGCTTATTTTCTCATAAACTCTCCTAGGTACAAGGCTGGGTGAAAAGTGGACTGAGAGATTTCTCCATTTCCCGAGCGTCAGTGGACTGGGGTATCCCTGTGCCAAATGATAACAAGCAGACTATTTATGTATGGTTTGATGCTTTGTTGGGGTAATCTTTCATCCTAAGACTTGCATCTAGTATATTGTGTTCCATAGAAACTTCTCATGAAAATAGATACAAGAATTAGTAAAAAAAAAGGTAGTCGATGGAACACACCACATTTATTAATGTTTTCATTCGTTAAAAGTAGTTCAAACATAATAAGATTTTGGGTTTATATATAATGTTGTAATAATAATTTAGTAAATTTCTCATATACTCTTTAATAGGAAAATATGATTCTTATTCTAAGGGCATTTTTTACGGCCTCTTATTAAGCAGGTACATATCTGCTCTTTCCGATGATAAGAAGCAACCTAATTTACAGGCTGCTGTTTCCTCTGGTTGGCCTGCATCACTACACTTGATTGGGAAGGTATTTTGTGCCCTCCCTTTTGTATTATATGACTTCTGCAATTATTGTGGTCCGAGTGTTTGCTGAACAAATCTCACATGTGCATCCAACTACTATTAACTCTAATTGGCTTCCTTCCTCAGCTAAAAGTGAAGTTTCTTATTATTATATTATTATTCTAGAGGGTGTTGTTACTTTTTCTTTCATTATGTTATTTCCATTTCATTTGTAGGATTATTTAGTGGCTCTTAATCTTGAAGAACCTTGAATATGTTCAGAAATTTTGGAAAGAGCTCCGTGCACGGACATTATCTTGTAATCCTTGATGTATCTCTTTGTGCTTTTATCTCTATAGCATTGATTTGTTTCTCTTGAATGCAATATCTTCTCTCTAGTTGACCAAAATTAGTTAAATTTAGCTGGTCCATTGTATCGAGAAATTTCTCCTACTGCTAAGTCAATATAACAAATAATAATCATGTGCAGGACATATTACGGTTTCATGCAGTTTATTGGCCGGCAATGTTGATGTCAGCTGGAGTCAGTCTCCCGAAGAAGGTTTTTGGCCATGGATTCTTGACAAAGGTGTTCAAGTTAGCCTCAAATGATATTCTGTGATTTATTTTCTCTGGGTTCAGGCTGTTTCTAATGTCATTAAAATCAAAACTATGAAGTCCTACATCTCATTTTCCAGCTTTTGGAATAAATTGGGATATACTTCTCATCTAGAGTCTTTCTAATTTTGATTTTACTCATTCCCAATTGCTCTATTCTTAATTCTCCATCCTTGGAATTCCTAAAAGGATAGCTATGCTAATCTTCTGGTTCATTATATTTACATGAATATTTTAGAAGATAATGTATATACTATGAAGAAATAAATATTTTCCAACTATAATACAATATGGGTAACCATGTGTCATCTCATAGTTGTTTTGTGTTCCTTAATTTTTCTCAAATCTCATATCCTGTATGCATCCCCTGATTTTCTCCCCCTCTCTCTCTCTCTCTCTCTGTCTGTCTTTTTTTCCCCCACTACACGTGAATTTCTTTTTATGTACTAGGATGGCATGAAAATGGGAAAGTCATTGGGAAATACTCTTGAACCTACTGACTTGGTGCACAGATTTGGAGCTGATGCTGTCAGGTATTTCTTCCTTAAGGAGGTGGAGTTTGGTTGTGATGGTGACTACTCAGAGGACCGTTTCATCAATATTATTAATGCGAATCTTGCAAATACTATTGGTACTCATATTCTCCATTCCACAGTTGCATTCCTTGCCCTTTTTTTTCACATGCTGATCCTCGGTGTAAAAAGTTGGAATTGATATTGAAGCTATATTTAACATGGTTTCAAATGAAATTAATTGGACCTACTTGTGTTTATGCTTGGTTTGCCTGTTTGATAATATGTGACTATAGTAGAGCCATTACATGTCCCCTTTTCGTAACATAGAAGATTTCACCAGTGATGGTTACAACTTTATTAATATCTCAAAGATTCGAGCAAATCTTCACCTAATATGACTGGAAACTGTTTGTGCTGCCCTAATCTTGAGTAAAAGAAAACTATATTAGCAACATATGGTGGTTTTTCAGGATCTAAACTTTACGTATCAATGTTGTTTTCCTCTTAATATGGGAAACAGATTAGTTATTTTATTTTTGGGGATAAATAGTTCCTGTAAGAGGTTAGAATAGAATTAGGACTTCTTTGCCCTGGTGCTTAAGTAAAAGGACAAACAAAAGGATATTCTGGAGTTTGTCTTGCAAAAACTAAACTTTTCATCTGAATCTGAACAACCAATAAAGTTGCTTATAAATTTCTCAAGTGTGGATAATATATTAATTGAATTTAGTGTACCACGTGCTGGTGTGTGTTTGTGTATGCATGACATTTGTTCATACTGGAAACCTCAGTTATGTGTTGACTGTACACTAACATTAATGCAGGTAATCTTCTCAATCGTACACTTGGGCTTTTGAGAAAAAATTGCCAATCTACCATTGCTGTTGATTCAACGATTGCTGCAGAAGGAAATGCATTCAAGGATAATGTGGAAAAGCTGGTAAAACTCTCATACAAATAATCTTTGTTTGTACACTACTGTGAGAATATTGTTCTGAAATATGCATGAATGAAATATATACATATATATATAAATATATGATGCAATCTGATAGTAAGAGGAACCCAACAGACCAGCCATTGTGTGTCTACACCCCCTGGGCCATGATGGGCTCTGCCAATGGTGTCCTTAGTTTAATTAGAGCCATGTATTGTACTACTTCCGTTTGGAACATATCCCAGTGATCTCATAGGTTGATTTGGATTGACAATGATCATAGCTTTCTAATGTGAATTGGGTCAGCTGAGTGTTTGGGACTGGAGGGAAATCCTGTAGTTCTTCTTGGGAAATCCATCATTAAGTTTTCATACAATTTTCTTGAACTGCAGTATCATTTTTAGTGATGAGATGATGCAAAATGTTGATCAAAAGTTTTTGGAGATTATACAGCACCACTATTTTTTTAAAAAAATTTTCTTAAGTGGGAATATTTTGCATAAATAATGTAACAAGTCTTGAGAATGTAAGATATACGAAAATGGTAGGACATTCCTACAAGTTTGTAAGTGAAATATTGGGGGAATTGATAGTTTTCTGGAAAGCATGTTGGGGAATGCATATTACTATTTTAGGGGTGCAGTTTCCAAAAATTAAGATTTGGCAGCTATTGGATTTGGTATGGATAGAAATAAGCAGAAAACAGAGCTGGTTTGTGGCTGTATCTCTCAATCAATATAGGGCAATTGGGTATTTGATACGAGCTATATACGTCTATGTATTGATCCCATTGACTTATTTACTCACCTGTAGAGCCGTGAAATCGTTATGATGGACTATATACTTGAAACTGAAAGGTGTTTTTAACTGTTTGATTATCACTCCCATATAGGTCGATAAATCGAGGCAGCACTATGAGAATCTTGAGCTGTCATCAGCCTGCGCAGCTATTCTAGACATTGGCATTGCTGGAAATGTATATATTGATGAAAAAGCACCATGGTCACTTTTTAAGCAAGGAGAATCTGGTTTCGAAATGGCTTCCAAGGTTTATACTCTTTCTTACTTATGTCCATCTTTTATTCTGTAGGAAAACAAAAAAAAAAAATTGTGAAATATTTATTTTGAACTCAGTTTTGATGTTTCCATCCGGCACAAATTCCAATTGTTTCATACGATGCTAGAAATACTGAAATCCTAATACTTTTAGATCTGCAGTGCATCTATTTATTTCACTCACACTGTTCTTGCTATTTCTTTTATGCTTGCTAATAATGCTCAATTGTTTTAAGTAGTTTGTTTCACTTGTGAAGGATCTAGTGATTGTGTTGGAAGCTATAAGGATCGTAGCAATTGCTTTGTCTCCAATTACTCCGAGTTTATCTTTGAGAATATACACCCAGCTCGGCTACTCTGAGGACCAATTCAGTGCTGTCACTTGGGTTTCTCTCTCTCTCTCTGATTTTCTCAAGCCTTTCAAAATGCTATGATTTTTGGAGCAGTCTAAGTCACATGCCCTTTGTGATTCTTGCAGAATGAGACAAATTGGGGAGGGCTTAAGCAAGGCCATGTCACTGCACAGCCGAAACCTGTGTTGGCCCGAATTGAGATTGAAGCTGACTCCAATGGTACAACTGAGGAACCAAAGAAATCCAGTAAGAAAAAGGAAGGCCAAAAAACGAAAAAGGTGGTTGAAGCCTAGCAATATGTTTGTCCACCAAGGAAAGCGAGCAGATAAGAAGAATTCTGTATGTTTCCCGAGCAATTTGATAGTGCTCTCGTCGCATAGGTCTCTAGCCGGCGTCACTACTTCTACCTGGTAAGTTACCCCGATTTAAATATAAGTCCGATATATTAAGGATAGTGAATTCTTCATATTGGCATGGACTGCTATCTTATGACCATTCATTTTTTACGGCACTGTGATTTAGTAGCTGAATTAGTTCATCGGCCTATGGAAGGCTTATGTGTTATCCTACTGTTCCATGCTATTTTGGTTTGTTTTTAGAATAATTCTTAACGATTCTAGCGATGTAGATTGCCCTTGCAACTCGATTAGTAGGTTTGTGTTTGTATCATGTGTGACAGGTGACCCGAGACATTGGGGGTTTGAACCCAAACCTCACGGTCACAAGTCAACTCTATACCAACAGACTATCCACGGAATACATATTCATGATATTTTGAAATATGGGAGAGAATCGTTGAAAAAACTAATTTAAGCAAATAGCTGAATAAGTAAAAAATAATTATATTAATTTTATATTATTAATTGATCTAATTAATATAATTATATATATATAATTTGTAGACACGGCAAAATTCGAATAATAAAATAATTAGAAGTAATTTAAAAAATCATTACCCCAGTTTTTGTGCACTTGGAATTACAGATGAACCGATTTGACTCTTGAACGAGTCTCAGTCCATGGTCAACTGTCAACAACTGCAAATATAAATTTCAGCTGACTTTTCTTTTACTTCTAATTAATAAGACCCACAATTTTACTAATAATTTTTAATATTAAGTTTTGTATTATTATTTTTTTCTAAAATATATTTACTGTTCATTTTTATTTAAATCATATATTAACTTTTATTTTAAAAATAATTCAAAATATTAAAATTTATTAAAAAAATACCATTTAATCATAAACTTCGTTTTAATATTCTTTACCATATTTATAGTGCATTTTTCTCTTGCCATAATAAACGTACTATTTTTTACAAAAATGAATGTATAATACATATTATTCTCTCTGTTCCAATGCAATAGTTTTGTTTGTTATTTGTCTCTTTCAAAACAATAGTCTTATTTTCATAAATAATCGTATCACTGTAAAACTAACTCTACTTTTTCATTTTTATTACACAATTGCCACTATTTTTTACACTAATACACTTACAAGGACAAAAAAGTTTTTTGTTTATACTTTTTACCAACTATCAATATAATATCAATATTTTTTAAATCCGTGCACAACTCAATTAAGACTATAATTCTGTGACGGAGGGAGTATTATATTACCTACCTAATTTTTTATGATTTAGATAAAAAAAAAAAAAAAAAATTGGTTCAAACCAACTTTAGTACAATTTCTTTATTCCTTATAATTTTTTTTATAGAAAATTTCAAAAATGTCCAAAATAAGAATAAGAATAATCAATATTATTAAAAATATATATATACCATTTTTATTTTAGTATAAAAAAAGTTAATAATCCCTTCTTTTCATAATAAATTATTTATTTTTTAATTTTAATCTGCCATAACAAAGTATCAATATTTTTTTTTAAATAATTGTACTATTTACCTAATATTATAAATACCCTTACAACTTATAATATATTACACAAATATCATTACATTTATATCACACAATATTAATAAAATTATTTTAATCATTTCTATTTTATTCATACTATATCTCAATATAATATTAATATTTTTAAAACCTCATATGGACTAATAAAATTTTAATCAAATATTGATCTTAAATTATTCTATAAAAAATACTTAATATTGTTTAAATAATAAAAAAATAATCTAAAAATACAAAAGAATAAATGTTAGATATCTCAAATAAAAGTATACATTAAATTACAAATGGAATGTAATGTAAAAAAAAAAAAACACAATAGTCGAATCACAGTATCACACAATTTGGTTCTTTTATCGTCCGGCGCATCTCCGGTCGCCGGAACACAAAAAATCTTTCCGTTCAGAACCAATCCGGCGAGGTGACGTCATCGCCGCCGTAGCCACAGCTTCGTCCAAAGTCACCAAATTTCAAACCTTTTCCCCGCCGCGGCGGCGCTTCAGACGGAAAAGGGCCGACCGCCGCCGCCGCCGCGAAAGCTAAATTCCGATCATCCCCACATCTCAAGCCTTCGACATGACGGAGAGCCTACTCCGGCCGCACCTGAACTCGCCGCGGCGGCGCTGCTGACGGAGAGAGGGCCGAATCAACGCCGCCAGAGCCTTCTTCACCAAATTCCCCTCCGCGCCACCGATCGGCGCCGGAGAATTCTTCCCGGTGGGGGGGCGCGAAATATTCCGGCCACCGGAGCTCCCATAGGCCGCCGTTTGCGAGATATTTCCCGGCCCGCCGCCTTTGTGCCGGCTGCACCGGAACGAGCCGGGGTGATTCGTCGGAGCACAGAGACACGTCCTCCGGCACGGCGGCGCGGCGGCGGAGGGCGGCGAATGGGCGGAGTAGCGGTGGCCGAAACCGGCGGTAGGGGCGATGGTGATGGACCGGATGACCGGTCCGCTCGATCGACCGGCTGCTGCGTAAACCGCCATTGAAAGAATGAAAGAAGTGTGAGCGTCTGAAAATTAGGAAACGCTTGGGACGGGTATTTATAAAAATTTGAATGGTCAAAATGCAATAATGAATTCTCCCAGGGACCCATAGGAAATAGTGAAAGTTGGGTTGGATTCAGCAGCATCTGACCATAGTTTAAAAATATAAACCATGGGCAGCCCACTGGGATCAAAACGACAAAGTTTCGAGTCGTTTTGGGTGACCATAGAGATACAGTTGGGCGCTGTGGTTTTGGTGACACACTCCGTATGTATTCCACGTATTCTGTCAGTATATATATATATTTTTAGTAATTGATTTAATGCAAAATAATGATTAGGGGTGGGAAAAAAACCGAACCCAACCATATAATCGAATTGAATTTTTGATTAATCGAGTAAATACAGTTCGAATACAAAGATTGCATATTTGATATTGTTCGGTTCGATTCAGTTTCGATTTTTTATATTTTTTTCGATTCGGTTAACCGAACCGAATATATTTATATATTTTTATATTATTTATTTTAAAATTTATATTAATAATTATATTCGGTATTGTTTCGGTTCGGATATTTGAAATATTTGCAAATGCTTTTTATTTAATTAGAATTTTCATTATATTCTTATATATTTTTTCTTAATTTCGATTCGGTTCGAGTTATTTGCAAGTACTACAAATATTTTCGATTAATCAAAATTTTTGATTCGAATACAGTTCGTAATTTCGAGTATTTGTTCGATTCGATTCGATTATCAAATACTTGCATTTGTAGATAATCAAACTGTGTCTATACCTAATAATAATAATTATTATTATAATAATAATATAAGCTTATTTTGCCGTTGATGACTAGGATTTGTTCTTTTGCCTTTTTTTTCTATTTTAATTTTAATTTTAATTTTAATTTTAATTTGTATTTAAATAATAATACTTGAAAATATTTTCGACGGCAACAAAATGGAATCTATACTTATAATAGTCAAATTTGTTAATAAAATTATAGTAATTTTTTATACTTGTAAAAAAAAAAAAAAATTAATCATTTGAGCATATTCCTATTCATATATTACAATTTCATCAAAATTAAAGTAGGTTTAAGAAAAGAATCGGAACATGATTTAATTAATTAATTAATTAATTATGTGCCACAAATAATGAGAGTGGTTAAGAATATTACAAATTAAAAATCAATAATAATATATTCACTTTTAGGCCGTACCATGTGAAGATTATAGATGTAATCTCTCGACCATTATTTATTTAATGTTATCAAACTTTAACGATGAATATGTTGTTGTTTTAGCGATATATATATATATATATATGGAAATATTTAATTTATGGTGTATTTTTAATTTTTAAATTTTATAAAAGAAAATATTATTTTTCGCGTCAATTTTATTTAAAATATCTCAACAAATAAATATAAAAGTATATGTAATTTTTGCGCCAATTTCATGCTATTAATTGTGATCAAAATCAGGGCTAATATTCAAGGTTGTGTTTAAATACGGTTTGCAATATATTTTAGTTTTGTAATTCAGAAATAATAAAAAAATAGATATTCAATGCAATATATAATTAAGGGGTTTTTTTTTTTTTTTTTTCTCCAAATCAAAATCAATATTATTTCATATGTACGAATTTTAATAAAAATACACTCCATTCGTACGATTGAAATGTTATCATTTTTCATTTCTGTCCGTCCCAATACAAAGATGATCATTTTCTAATTTAATAATTGTACTACCTACTTAACATAATAAATACAAATGTCATTACTTTTATATTACACCATACTAATAGAGGTATTTTTATCTTTTTTTACTATAATCCAATATAATACTAATATTCAAAAATTTATGTGCAAAAAACAAACGTCACCCTTCCAATGGGACGGAGGGAATATTATTTTTTTTAACAAAATATTATTTAAACTATTTTTTTTTTTTTTTTTTTTTTTTAAAGAAAACTCAACTCACTCAAACCAAAACCAAACTGTGTTGGACGTAAAATAATTCAATTAGAGAAATAATATTTGATATCGAATGGAAAAACAAAGTTTAATATATTCCATGATTATTTGGTTTGATTGTAACATATATTATAGATTATTGTATTCATTGGGAATATATTCTTTCATTTTTAAAATGGTAATGCTTAATCATAACAAGTCCATTTTGTAATATGTTGGTAGTGATGTTTTTCAATTTTTTTAATGTATAATTAAAAATACTTGATACATCAATACATCTCAAATAGGATAATTATAATTCCTAAACTTTAAACAATATATTAAACAGCAGTTTGGGAATATAATCCATATGATGTTTCAATAATACAATACAAAATATGAACAATATTAATTTTTTAATTTAATTAATATATGCATCTAAAACGCTTTTTTTTTTTTTTTTTTGGAATTGAAAATGTTGGGATGGTATTTGATTATATGTTAAATTTATAATATTAATGTGTTGATTGAGAGCTAGTTGAAGTAAATATTGTTTGATGTGAATCATGCGATAAGTTGGATTTAGAAAAAATAAAAATAATGGCTTCAAATGTATGGAATGTGATGTATGTGAAAAATCTTGACATGTTGGAAACTTGGGGTGGGTAAAAAAAATCGAACAAGATCAAATTGAATTTTTAGTTAACCAAACAAATTCAATTTGAATATAAATATCGTATATTTTGATTTAGTTTTGGTTTCTGATATTTTTTTTAGTTAATTGAAAGGAATCAAATGGAATGTATTTATATTATTATATTTTCAACGTATATTAATAATTATATTATATTCGGTTTCGATTTGGTTCAGTTTAGTTTGAAATATTTGCAAAAATTTTTGTTTAATTGAAATGTTAATTAATTTTTGTAATATATTTTTAAAATTCTGGTTTGGTTCGAATTTCGATTCGAATATAATTCACAATTTCGAGTATTTGTTCAGTTCAGTTCGAATATAAATTGTCTGGATATTTACAAATAATCGAACTGTACCCACCTCTACCTACATGGAATTACATGTACATTGACTATGAATAAATTGGAAACACATTGTCAAATAGTAATAATTTTGGTTCCAACTACAAAACAAAGAGAACCTTACATTCACATCCATGGACAAAAGAATTCAATTGTGTAATTGGAATGTATATAAATTTTTTTAAGACATTAGAAACAATTGTTACGATATAAATAGTTGACGATTTACATGTAACAACAAGACCATCAAGGGTTGTTGTCAACCAAATCAAAGAGTTCATCTCCAATTCCGAACCCTAGCATTCTTGCCATGTCCTTAGCTTTCAGTCTTGGCTTCGCCACGCCGTGCTCCTTGAGCCACGAGTACACGATCATCACCTTTCGCACAACGAACAACTCCAATGCCTCGGGATTGAACACTACTCCCATTCTCATACTCATCTACAATATATATATATATACATAAATTCATTTTTATTCGAGTATGCATGCATTAATGTTATCTAGCTCGGATATATATATATATATATATATATGTGTGTGTGGCAACAAATTTTATGTTGATTGAGTCAAATCAGTATGGAAGAAGGTATATAATATATATTTCTGTTAATACAATATGATTTATTTATAACACAAGACAAAGAAAAAAGAAATGGGAAGAGATGGTTCTATACAATATAACATATTATAACATAAATATATATTGTATGCTTTTATTATATATATGTTGATTGGGTGAAATCAGTACCATGTTGATTCGACTCAATCAACATCAGATTTGTGCCCATATATATGTGTATACCTGATAAGTACCATGCTTATTTGATCCAATCAACATCAAATCCCTATATGTGTATATGTATGTGGGCCGGAGATTCTGTGCTAATTCGGCTAAGTCAGCGTGATGCTTATTTGATCGGTCAGCATATGTCATAGAGGTGACCAACATTTGTTTATACATATTTGATGTGTTATAATATAACATATGTTGAGTTAGTATAACATATGATTGTATTATAAATATGTTAAAATATGTATAAATATATGTCGATCACCTCTATAACATATGTTGATTCGGTCAAATCAGCATTATGCTGACTTGATCGGATCAACAACTGATCCATGCGTATGTATGTTATACCTGGTGAGGGACAAGCATAGCCGTGTAACGTGCAAGTTCTCCGGCGCGCCAATCCAACACTACAGGGAGCCATGGAAACGTAGTGTCCAATCGTACGAACCAAAGCCTCACGTCGGGGAATTCTGATAGTTCTCGAGGGTCATTTGGATCTTGTCTCTCATAGTTTATTGTAAATCCAATCGAACGATCAAGATAATCCTTTGCCATTGCTGCATCGAAACGTACATTCGTAGCTCAAAATTACTAATTATTCTCTCATAAAATATTATATTAAATAACTATGGATATTCAAAATATAAATACAAATTAAACACACAAGTATTTTAAAATAAAAGGTTTTGATTTAAGTGCAATTTAAAAATTATAATATTAAAACAATTGAGTTTAACTTTATCTTAAATTTAAATTGAGAATGAAATTTTCATTTAAAAATATACTATCATAATTTTATTTTTTTTTAAAAATAAAAATAAAAATTTATTTCTCAATTAATTGAATACAACAAAAACCCAAAGGTTACACAAGAAGCCCAACTATGAACTTATTTCCAATATTTTAACAAACCGACCCAAATATATTTTTTTTAAAAAATAAAATAGTGCTTATATTATAAAATATTACAATCAGATTTTTAAGATTTGGCTTTCTATATTATTATAGTCTATATCAGGTGCTTAGTAATTAAATCAGTATTGTATTGATTTGTTCGAGTCAGCATATAAAAGTAATCAACATATGTAACATAACATATACTTCCTCCGTCCACAAACTAATGTCCTACTTTCTTATTTGGGACGTCCAACAACTATTGTCCTATTTTCTTTTTTAAATACAAATTTTACATTTTTACCCTTCATTCATTTATTACTTTTAATCTCTACCATACAATTAAGGGCAAATTTGTCAATTCATAATAAAAAGACAATCACCTAAAAAACCGTGCAAATATACTTTAAGACAATAGAAATTAGACAGATAGTATTACATTATAAAATATCATATGCTAAATTATATCATAACATATCTTGTATTCATATAACATACTTATGGGTATAAATGATCATATATTTTTATTTAATACAATATGTAGTATGTTAATAAAAAACATATGTGCTGATTTCTCCCTATCAAAATAACCAATCACCATAGATCTAATCTAATTTTAAAAATATTATTAGGAAGCCTATATTCGATATTAATAAAATGGGTAAATGTTTTGTTAGTCTTTTAGTTGATTCATATTGCTTCTTCCGTCCGCCTCTGATGATCACATTTATCTTTTGCGTTATTGTATTTTACATTAAGGGTGTGTTTGTTTGGGGGATTTAATTAGATTTCTACTATTCATCCAATTTTTTCCCCCCAAAAACATCAAATCAAATACCTATTTTTCATTTTTATATTATACTAAAAATCAATTTTACATTCAAAACATCACATCAACACCTATTTATATCACATCATACAACTATTCAAATTCAAAATTTTTACTATTCAAATCCCAACTCAAAATTCAAACCCTCAAACAAACACACCCTAAAAATATCCTTATATTTATATAATTTTTTTTTGTACAAATGTCCTTCTATTAGTATTATAAAACACTAATGAAAATATTTTTGCAATTTTTTTATTAATTTATATTATATTTTGAAATAATAATTAATATTCAAATATCAATACGCAACAAGTAAATGAGACCCTTCGAGTTGGACGAAGGTAGTATTATTTTATGACTCTAAATGGATCTCGTATGGAAATTGTACCACAACTAATTTTTTTCATAGAAATGATCTTTCGCCATCGGAATCAACACGTCACCGACGATACGGCTCGCTGGTGTTGATTTGGTGCCACATTGGCGACATGTGAATTTTTTCACTTGTCGCCCTACGTGGCGCTGATGTGTCTAACACGGCAACGCCAAATCAGTATTGGTGAGCTACATCATCGGTGACGCGTCAATTCGGGCGAAGGAGAATCATCTTTGCAAAAAAAAAAAAAATTAATTGCTACACAGTTTTCATACAATATTTATTTAGGGTGTGTTTGTTTGAGGGATTTTCCTCAAATACATTATTCATTCAATTTTTCGCTCTTTAAAACATCAAATCAAACACCTATTTTTTATTTTTTATTTTTTATATTATACTAAAAATCAATTTTACATTCAAAACATTACATCAATACCTATTTATATCACATCGTAGAACTATTCAAATTTAAAATCTTTATTATTCAAATCCCAAACATAATTTATCTAGAATCCTAAAATAAAAATAGAAATTTGATAGGGACTAAAAAAAAATATTATTTTTTATCAAAGTTAATGCAGTGAGCAAGAAATATGTACTTAGCAGTCACAGTTTATCATCATCTGCTAATATAATTAATTAATTAATTACCTGAGTCTAGAGAGGCTAATCGGATTCCCGTAGCTGTATAGAATGGAGTCAAGTCGAGGCGGGCGATGACGTCATTGCTGATGACAACCTCGTACCTGCCTTCCGTCGGAGGCATTGGCGGCGCCGCTTTCACTGCTTCTTCTGCCACCCATTAATTATTAATAATCATATTAATTCTTCTTGGGAAACTCCGAACAATCTAAATTCTTTATAATAATAATAATAATAATAAAATAAAAAAAAAAAATACCATCGTCGAAGAGAGAGAGGTCGAGATCATTATTAGCATTCCCAGAAGGGTTGAAGGAGACAGGAACAGAGAATTGTGCTGCCCTATTATGAAGTTTCATCGATAATGATTGGAAGTAGGGTTTCTGTAATATCATCGTCCATGAAGACGAAGACGATGAAGAAGAAGAAGAAGAATGTTGTATGAGTGGACAAGAAGAAGAAGAAGAAAGAGGCCTTATTACACTATCCATTTCTCTCTCTCTCTCTCTCTCTCTCTATCTGTTTGTTTTGATTACAAGCTTTCTTCAATTTACACACTATTTTGATTTTGCTCGATGAATTGGGCCAACTTAAGAGAGATTTGTTAGTTATTGGGCCTTTTCTAGAAGGCCCATAATGGTACAATCAATAGTCCAGCCCACCACCAAATGTGCGCCTTTGCCTTTTTTTAAGCTATGTTTGTTAGTAAATTTTGATTGAAATATTTATTAATGTGATATAAATAGATATTAATATAAAATTTTAAATGTAAAATTATTTTTTAGTATAATATAAAATATAAAAATTTTAAATTGAATTCGATACTACCCTAAAAGAATAGGTAGATTTATATTAAGTACAAGATTTAAGAAATATTGATATTATATTTATAGTCGAGATACAGTATAAATATATATATATTCTTGTAAGTGTGTTTATGTAAAAATAATAATAATAATAATAATATTTATGTAATAATAGTGAAAAAAAATGAATAATTTTATGATTATATGATTATTTACGAAGATAAAATTATTATTTTGAAATAGACAAAATAGTAAAACAATATTGTTTTAGGTTGAAATTCCGCAAGCAAACAAAGCTAGAGTTTTATTTATTTTCAACTTTGTTTTTAACTATTCATCAACTGCAGGTGGTTATTATACTAATTTAAAAATTCACCAGCTATGTAAATAAATAGTAAAAATATACTCCCTCCGTCCACAAAATAACGTCCTACTTTTTTATTTGAAATGTCCAATAATTATTGTCATATTTCTATTTTTATACACAAAATTTACTCTTTTACCCTTACTTTATTTACTCTTTCATTTTCTATACACAAGATTAAGGACAAATTTATTATTTTATAACAAAAACCCTAATCGCCTAAAAATGCTTGTAAATATTAAATATGACATTAAAAAATAGATAGAAGGAGTAGTTATTATAAAATATAAATACAAACCAACACATGGAGAGTTACATAAAAATATATAACTGTGTTGTACGAACATATTACGTGTGTTGGAATAAACTATAGATTGTACTTAGTTTTTACGAGGAAATGTATTGTTCATTCCATATAGAATAAAATAACAAAGACATGAAAAATTTAGGAAATTGTCTTGAAGAGCATTTATTCTAATTTTTGCTTTCAGGTTAGAATAATTATAAAAGATGTTCGGTAAGGAATGGTCCGGTGGTGTGATGGTGGACTTGTGACCGTGACATCATCGGTTTAAATCTTTGACGCCTCCGGGCCTTATTGTCATACATGATTAGACTAGTGTAGCTTGCCTTATAAGATTTAATTTGCAGACTATTAAATTCAATCCAAAGTTTACACAGAGCGCATGTTTGTCAACTACCGTTGACTTCTTTAGTCTTGAGAGGACCATCACTAGCTTGAGGAACGGACTGCCATGAGGTCTTTACATATTTGTTTTAAATCCTATCTAACCAAATCTATTTTTATCAAATATTTTCTTAAATGGTATAAATTAAAGAAATTGTAAGAATTGTTTACTATGACGTGTACAATTTTTTGTGGATAAAAAAAATATATATATATATATAGAGAGAGAGTACATTAAATAACTCTTAATTCAAAATGATAACTTAGCTTCGTCTCATCTATACACGAAAGTTAACTTAATACTAACCTAACTCCAGAGATTTTGCAGTTTTACTCTTTTGTTAATTTATAAAAAAAACAAATAGTTTTTTAGATAATATGTACGTACATATGTATGTATGTATATATATATGTTGATCATTTTATTCATATTAGTATATATATGCATATAAAATATAAAGATAAATGCGACTAGTTACTAAAATTCAACATTATATTAACAATACATTATTTTTCTAACACCGTAACATATAAGAGTACTACAAAGAATACATAATTTATATTAATATAATATAAATACAATGCATGAACTAACAAATAACGCATGATATAATTTCATATATCAAATGTAACAGTTTATTTTAACAAACATACTTTATATAACATAAATTTTAAGTATGAACATATAGCAAATATTTTTATTTAATATAGTATATGTGCTGACTTAGAGACATGTTATTTTGTATATTTTATGTGTGCCGACTTGAGAAATCAATATTATTCTGATTTTTCTAAATCAGCACTATTTCCATGACAAAATAGTTGAATTGTCTAACCTCAAATTGAACAACTTGACTCATCTTATCGCTATCGATCAAGCATTAAATATTAATATACTAATATCTCATAATTTACAACTTTAGAAATTGAAATAAATAAAATTAATAAATAGTTTAGAAATTTCAACACATTTACACATATTTCTTTATATTTATTTTACTAATAAAAATTAAATTACCAAGTTCATATAAAAATTGATTATTCATAATTCAAAATATATTGAAATTATACAAAATAATAATAATAATAATAAATGATAGAACAATTTTGCCCCTAAGTCTTCCATTCCTATATTTAGACTTTAGAGTGTGTTTACTTTCAATAATTATGATAGATAATATTATTTTATTCAACTTAATCATGTGATTCATGTGATTATTATGTATTATTATAATTTAGTATAAAGTCAAGTTTATTATAATAATACTATAATAAAATACTAATATAATAATATTTGTATAAAAAATTATATAAATATAAAAATAATTTTAATATTAAGTCCAATTATACAAAATATAAATATAATTCTTAGAGACTGATAGAGAAAATATAATTAATTATTTTCTTATAGAAAATATTAAATAATACTAAAATAGTATTAATATTAAAAGACTCTTTTATTTTTAGTTAATATCTATCTTTTTATTACTTTAAATGTATTTTAGGCAAAATTTAATAATTTTTATATAATAATTAATTAAAATAAAATATTAAATTATTTTATAATATTTTTAATAATCCATTATAAATAATACATATATTATAATTTTATCTTACAAAATACACATCCTTAAAATATATATTAAAAAAAAATTACTTTAAAATATAAACCAACAATATCATCCCAATCATATATTAATAGGTTATATTTTATGTATTATTATAAGTATTAATTAATTTAAATAAGTCGTTCGAATTTCGAATTAGAATTTTGTCATGGATTCATATGTATTGGATAGGGCAGGTAGGGGTTTTTTTTAAAAATAAAATAAAATAAAATAAAAAATTTATTTTTTAAAAAATTAATAAAATATAAATCTTTATTATTTTTATATTATTTATATAATTTTTTATAATGCATAGCGCAGCTGTCAAACACATGTGTGGAAAATAACCGTCTACCCCCAAACCTATGCGCTGACTTCCAGTCGTCCCATATCCTATAAACAAAAGCTTCTTTTAATTTGGTTTAGAAAAATTTTGATTTTAATTAAATATTTAATAATATTTAATAAGATATTTTTTTAAAAATTATAAAATTTAAATAGTAAAATTTGATAAATTTATGTTAAAAAAATATACTAGTATGAATAAATTAATGTATAGAATTACTTTTGTGTATCAACTTATTTTTTTATGGTTTAATTTTAAATATTAATATTATATTTATATTTAAGAACAAATTCAAATAAAAAAATAATAAAAAATACTTTAATTAGTGTTCAATAATATAAATATAATAATATTTTATAAAAAATTTATTTAAATATAATAATATTTTTAATGTTAAGTACAATGAATTAAAAAAAATAAATAAATAAATACTTTGTTAAGGGAAGAAGGAGTATTATAAATTTATTCGAAGTTTGGAAATTGAAATCTTAGAAGAAAAATTTTGGATTTTTTGGTTTGGAATTGAAATTTAAATTTTGATATATTTTTGAATTAAATAGTACTCCTTCCGTCCTAAACAAGGTGCAACATTTACTTTTGGCATGAATTTTTAGGTAAGTAGTATTAAGTAGGATAATTTAGAAATTAGGTGATGTGATAGAGAGAAATATATATTTTATTTTTTTATTTGGATAATATGAGGGGATAAAGTGTACAGTATATATTAAATATAATTAATTATTTCCTATTTTGAAAATGTTGTAGAGTGTTTGTGACGGAAGGAGTATATTGGTATATTATATTTATGAGATATAATATAATATTTGTATAAAAATTATACCAATTGAATAGTGTAATTTTTTCTTTTTTTTTTTATTTCAAATACAAAACGAACATACTTTTTTAAATTTAAATAAATTTTGATACAATACTTCCTCGGTTTCGAGATCAGATGATCCATTTGATTAGGGATACAATATTTTTGGTATGATAGATTTATGAGTTATTAATAATAATTATTATACTATTTTTTATATTGATAGTATTGTTGATATTTTAAATATTTTTATCATTATATCTAAAAAGGATATATATAATATGAATATTATTTTTGTAAATAATAAAATTTTATAGTATAATATAATTAAATAAAACCTATATTTATTTATTTATAATTAATGTAAAACTAATTTTATAAAAAACGATGAGTTATTAAATATAAATAAAAATATTTGTTTATTGAATAGATAAAAATAAATGGATTTTGAATTGATAAAATGCGTAAAATATTACAAATTTAATTAAATTGATATATTTTTGTTAACAAAAAAAAATTGAGTCATTTACTTAGAAAAAAATACCCATATTATAAGAAAAAAGATATATTTACAAAAACATATTAAATACAATAGAGTTCTTTTTTTTTCGTTTAATTTGTACTAAATATAAATATAATACTCTCTTTATCCAAATTCAATATATAATTTTTTATTATTTTTGTCCGTTTCACTTTTTATAATAAATATAATCATATTTAAATACCAAATTACTTCTAATTTTTATATTTTATTTGTATTTTTAAGGTAAAAAATATCAAAATAATCTTGCATACTTTCACTAACCAATAAAATACATGTTACTCCCTCCGTCCCGGTCGAAAGGGGTCCTTCGGGATTTTACAGTAGATTAAAAAATAATACTAGTATTTTTTAGTTAGTGGAAGTGTGTAAGATATTTTGATATTTTTGCCATTTGACTTTATGTAAAAAGTAATAGTATGTTTGTAATTTAGATAAAAGTTAAAAAGGTATTTTGGTATTGGTGTATGATTACTTTTACTAAAATAGGAAAAAGATATTTTGAAGTGAGACAGATGAACATGGTAAAAGAGTACTTTGAGTTGGGACGGACGGCTTATTTTTTAATCTATTAAATATATATATATTGGACCGAACATAAATTATACTAATATTTAAAAATCTACATAAAAAAAAATGAATATCTTATTTCGAGACAAACGAAGTACTCCTTCCGTCCCAACTCAAAGTATTACTTTTATCATTTTCGTCTTTCCCACTTCAAAGAATCACTTTCCTATTTTAGTAAAAATAATCGTACACTAATATCAAAATGCCCTTAGTTTTTACCTAAACTACAAACATACTATTACACATGCAAAAATATCACAACCCATTACACATTTCCATTAATTAATAAAATACTATTATTTCTGACGGAGTGAGCATAATATTTTTTTCTAACAAACCCAAACGCCTACAAGTCTTGCATGCCACACATGATTCTCCTAGTGTGATTTGTCTTTTCGCGCCTAGTTTACATGCTATTAGGTTCTGCCGGAAGTTTACCCAGAGCGCATTTCCGGGCAGCGGCTGCGGGTTCCGACATTATACAAAAAACTATATACACCCTCAATGTTTTTTTATTTTTTATTTTTTTTTAAAAAAAATTCATTTGTCCAATATATTTTTGTTCAACACGATTCTCAATATATATTTTATACTATCACAAAATTCAATATTAAACATTAAAAACTCCGTTCGTCCCAAGCACTCTGCAATATTTCATTTTTATATCTCAAACATTCTGCAATATTTCCAAAATATAAAATAATTATTTATACTTAATCTTTATCTCACATTTTATTTCATCGCATCACCTAAATAAAAAATGAAATATATATGTTTCTCCCAAATGCACCACCAAAATAAAAAATGAAATATATATTTTTCTCTCAATAGAATCACTTAATTTCTAAATTATCATATTTAATACTATTTACCTAAAATCTCGTGCTGAAATCAAATATTGCACTTTATTTGGAACGGATAAAGTATTAATATTTTTATATTACCGACGTAATTTTTCTATACCTCACATGGGAAAAAATTCAAATAAAAATAATAAATAAATATACCTTTAATTTTGATTTGATATTGAAAATTTCACTTAGTTTTATTTTAAATACTCCCTCCATCCCATTGGAATTGTGACATTTAATTTTTGTACATAGATTTTTTAATATTAGTATTATATTGAATTGTAGCAAAAAAGACAAAAATACCCCTATTAGTATGGTGTAATATAAAAGTAATGATATTTGTGTAATATATTGTAAGTTGAAAGGATATTTATTATGTTAAGTAGGTAGTACAATTACTAAATTAGGAAATAGTAACCTTGTTTTGAGACGGATGAAAATGAAAAATGGTAATCTTTCAATGGGACGGAGGAAGTACTAATATTCCCTTCGTTCGGCGCTAAGGGTCTCATTTATCTTTTGTGTTATTATATTTAACATAAAAAAATATTATTATATTTGTATAATTTTTTGAACAAATATCATTATAATGGTACTATAAGACACCAATAGAAGTATTTTTGTCATTTTCTCCTGATTTGTACTACGTTTTTATATAATAATTAATACTCAAATATCATCATACAAAAAATAAATGAGATCCTTAAAATCGAACAAATATAATATTTTATTAAAAAAATAATACTTTTTCCGTGTTATTTAATTTCTTTTATCTATTTTATTTAAAAATATTAATTTTCAATTATAACATAATTAATTATATATAAATATTAAAATACTTTTAAATTTTATAAAATAAATATCATAATCACCTTATCAAATACTCCCTCCGTCCGAAAAATAAATATCATAATCACCTTATCAAATACTCCCTCCGTCCGAAAATGGTGAAACATTTGGTTTTGGCACGGGTTTTTAGGTGGGTAGTATTAAGTAAGATAATTTAGAAATTAGGTGATGTGATGGAGAGAGAAATATATATTTTATTTTTTTATTTAGATGATATAAGGGGATAAAGTGTAGGATAGATATTAAGTATAATTAATTATTTTCTATTTTAAAAATATTGTAGAGTATTTGAAAAGTATAAAAAAAAAAAATATATTGCAGGTGTTTAGGACGGAGGAGGGAGTACTTTATTCCTTACAGCATTGAAGAAAAAATTTATTTAAAATAATTATAAAACGGTAATGGGAATTTAAAATAAATAAATAAATCACATCCTTATTATATTTTTAAGTCTTGAAAACAAGACAAAACCCATATCCCTATCAATATGGAAAAATTATGGTAGAAGAGACAAAGCGCCGGCAGTACCTGTACCTTATAAATCAAACACCAATCCCACCGCCGGCGACGACAGATGGATCCCACCGGAGAACACAACACACCAGCGGCGGCTCCGCCGAGAAGCTACTGGAGATGCAGCAAGCGCGACTTCTTCCCGGAGAAATCCTTCGAGAACTGGAGCTCCTACCTCTCCGCCCTCTCCCAAACCAGGTCCAGATTTAAAAACCGCCTCCTCAGCAGATCCGCCGACGCCACCGAGCTCGTCGACCTCCGGCGACAGAGCGAGAACTCCATGAAACGCTGCCTCACCTGGTGGGACCTCACCTGGTTCGGCTTCGGCGCCGTCATCGGCGCCGGAATTTTTGTCCTCACCGGCCAGGAGGCTCACACCCACGCCGGCCCCGCCATCGTCCTCTCCTACATCGCCTCCGGCGTCTCCGCCATGCTCTCCGTCTTCTGCTACACCGAATTCGCCGTCGAAATCCCCGTCGCCGGCGGGTCCTTCGCCTACCTCCGCGTCGAGCTCGGCGACCTCGCCGCCTTCATCACCGCCGGTAACTCAATTAAATTCAATTGAATTAAATTTAATTATTAGCTAAAATCAAATAATAAATTATATATCACTCCATTGTATTTTTAGTAAAAATGTATAAAAATTTTGTATTTTATTTATTATGTGAAAAATGTTAAGTTTGCAGAAACACCATTTTTATTTTAAATCAGATACTTGTTCTAAATAAAGATAATTCGTTACACAAATTTTATACTGATAAAAAAAATAAAATATCTTAAATAATGCTTTAAATAAAATTAATAAATAAATGATTGATCGATCACACTTTGTTTCTAAAAACAACTATAAAAATGTAGGACTAATCATTTATTTTATTTTAAAAAAAGATTATTCAAGATAGTTTATGTTTTTTATTTGAATAAAAATTGAGTAATTCAAGTCTTTATTTAAAATTAAACATTAATTTTAGATAATAAAAGTGTTTTATGCAAATTTTTTATTAACACAATGAAATTTTACACAATAAATAAAACACATGGTATTTGGTGCATTTTTACTGATACACAAGGGGATACACAAGGGGTGTTATATAATTTATCAAAAATCGAATCCCCGATCAAAATTAACGATCAAATTGCACCTCCGGCAGGCAACATTATGCTCGAATCCGTCGTCGGAACCGCCGCCGTCGCGCGAGCGTGGACGTCGTACTTCACCACTCTCCTCGACCGCCCTCCGGATTCGCTACGAATCCACACCGATCTCCACCGCGACTTCAACTTGCTCGACCCGATCGCCGCCGCCGTGCTAATAATCACGGCATCGATCGCAATCTCTAGCGCGAAACGAACTTCCTACGTAAATTGGATCGCCTCGGCGATAAACACGGCCGTGATCCTGTTTGTGATAGTCGCAGGATTCGCCCACGCGAACCCGTCGAATTTGAAGCCGTTGGCGCCTTACGGCGCCAAAGGCATATTCCAAGCGGCCGCGGTCGTCTACTTCGCCTACGGCGGATTCGACAATGTGGCCACGATGGCGGAGGAGACGATGAATCCGGCGAGAGACATCCCGATAGGATTAGTGGGGTCGATGTCGATGACGATGGTCATATATTGCTTGATGGCACTATCGTTGAGTATGATGCAAAAATACACCGAGATCGACGTCAACGCGGCGTACTCGCTCGCCTTCGAGCGCGTCGGGATGAAATGGGCGAAGTACTTAGTAGCCCTCGGCGCGCTAAAAGGGATGACGACAGTTTTACTAGTCGGGGCGCTCGGGCAAGCGCGATACATGACGCACATTGCAAGGGCCCACATGATCCCGCCGTGGTTTGCGCTCGTCCACCCGAAAACGGGAACTCCAATCTACGCGACGCTCCTAATCACGATCCCGAGCGCGTGCATCGCATTCTTCTCGAGCCTCGACGTGCTCTCAAGCCTACTATCGATAAGCACGCTTTTCATCTTCACGATGATGGCGGTCGCGCTTCTGGTGAGACGGTATTACGCTGCAGGGGTGACCAGTAAAGAAAATTTATTCAAACTCGTAGCATTTTTGCTCGTGATTATTGCTTCCTCGATGGGTACTTCTGCGTATTGGGGGCTAAAACCGGGTGGGTGGATCGGGTACACGATCACTATCCCGGTTTGGTTCTTGGGGACTTTGGGATTAGCGGTGCTGGTTCGACAGGAAAGACAACCTAAAGTGTGGGGAGTGCCACTTGTGCCGTGGCTACCGTCGTTGTCGATTGCTATAAACTTGTTCTTGATGGGGTCTTTGGGCGCCGCGACCTTTATAAGGTTCGGCGGTTGCACCATTATCATGATGCTTTACTATTTGTTCTTCGGGCTTCATGCTACGTTCGACGTGGCCGAGCAAAATAAGGAAGCTTCGAAACTTGGAGATGATGAAATGGGAGATAAGCAAAGTTTGAGTATTTCTCTTGATGGTAAGTAGTTTGGGAAAGAAAACTTCGATCTTATGTTCATGGATGAATGTTGTATGAGTACAAGTATACTTGGTGTAAGCCCGTTGAATGAATTTGAATTTGAATTTGAAGATGGGTTTAAATTTTTAAATAAATGAATTTGATTTATTTCAGATTTAAAATATTTTTTGTTAAATTGGATTGTTTCGAAGAAATTTATAATATCAATGAATTTGAGGATAGACAATTATTTGATTGTGATGATGTGAATAAACATTATGTTTTTTTATTTAATATATTAAATAAATAATAAATATTTAATTTAATAGTTAAAATAAATAAATAAATAATAGAATGCCAAAATATATGAAAGAAATAGGCCCTTCATAATTCATCTAAAACCTAACGGAAATAAAAACCCTCATTATTATGACTATGTGAAGCATAAAAACAAATGACAAAATTGAAATGGGCTTACGTTAAGTCCGTACAAAATATATATTCAACCTACTAGAGTAAGGCTATGAATTTCTAAGTTACATTTTTTTATTATTATTATATTTTATTATTACATTAAGTTCGTATTTTTTTTAAATATAATTATATATTTTAATTATATTTTAAAATTCATGATTTATAAAATTTTATATTTTAATTAAATTTAGTTATTTTTTTAATTATTTTTATTAATATATTTCTTAATTATTTACTAATCACCTAATACCCAAAACTCAGTGTCTAGCTTAAAGTGGACAATTTAGGTAAAAAAAAAAAATATACAATAGACAAAATCAGGAAACATCGCGGATTTGAATTGAGTAAAACTATGAAATTATAAATTACATTTATGATTGATATATCATCATATCAATTATTTTTTGACATATTTATTTTAATGTAATTCCTCCGGAACTATAGTCTTAATTGAATTGACCACGAGATTCAAGAAATATTGATATTATATTGATAGTTAGTAAAAAGTATAGATAAAAGACTTTTTTGTCCTTGTGAGTATATTACTCACATACACCCATGTAATATGGGTGTATTACTGTGAGAATTTAGGTAAAGTATAATTAGTAAGTAATTAAGAAGTGTATTAGTAAAAATAATTATAGATTAAGATTAAGATAAGTAAATAGTTTAATTAAAATTAAGAAAATTATAAAATTTAAAATGCGATTAAAGTGCATAATTATATTTCTAAAAATAGAAAGGACAAATTATGTGGGACGGACGAAAATAGAAAATAGAGACAAATTATGTGGGACGGGGGAGTAGTAAAAAGTAGTGGCAATTGTGTAATAAAAATGAAAAAATATGAGTAGTTTTATGGTGATATGGTTATTTATGAAAATAAGACTATTATTTTAGAACGAACAAAAATAGTAAACAATACTATTATATGAAGACGAATGGAGTATTAAAAATTATAAGGTAGGCCAATAAACAAGAAACAAGATTATACGCACGACGGTTTGTGTCGATTTGAGTATGTTGGAATGTTGAAATTTTGAGTTTCTCTAACCAATTTTAAAAAACATCTGGACTTAATTTGTTAAAGAGAAAATTGATGAAAAGTATTTTTTATATATACTCAATTATCATTTTTATCATTTGTTTTTTTGTTGGCAAAATATATCTTATACGTATGCAAAAGTCGTTATTTATGTTATTTAGTTACGTGTGATGTTCACACAATAATTATCTCACGTGCGGCCAAAGAACAAAAATAACGACTTTTGTAGTTTGCAAATAAGAAACAAAGATAATATTCCCTCTGTTTCATATCTATATATCCATTTACTTTTTGTACAGAGTTTTAGAAATATTAGTATTATATTGGAATATAGTAGAAGTAAAAATAAAAAGACTAAATTGTCTTTATTAGTATTGTATGATATAAAGATAATGATATTTGTGTAATATATTGTAAATTGGAAGAGTATTTGTAACGTTATGTAGATAGTACAGTTACTAAAAAAAATTGATATTTTATTATGAGACGGACGAAAATGGAAAAATGGATAGATTGTTAAGGGATAGAGCAAGTTAACAGAGGAAGTAATTGAATAGACATTGAAGATATTTCTTTTGCAAGTTTCCAATTTTGTATAGATTGAATCAAGATAAACAAAAATGAATAAAAGCAACAAAAATAATGCAATTAGGGTGACATTTGGACTTAATTTCAATTTTTATATATATTTTTTACAATTTTTGATTATTTTTATAAAATATAAAATAAAAATATTATTTAAATCAAAATTTAAAACTAAAACTAGAAATTAAAAATAAAAAACCAAAAACAAAAACAAACCCAAAAGGTGTGCTTGTCGTAAGTTTGGAATTGAATTTTAAATTTTAAATAGCGAAAAATTTAAATTATAATAATCGTTTAACATAATATAAATAAATATTGTTATAATATTTTATAAATATAAAATTAATTTTTATATAATATAAAAAATAAAAAATATTAAAATTAAAATTAAAATGAAAAATCGAAAAGCAGAACCAAGTGTCATGTATCTATTATATTCCACATGGGCCCCGTTCATTTAAATCTCCCTCGTCATTTCTAATAATACATATTCATTAGTATATATGTCTATCAAAAATAATAATAATAATAATAATAATAATAATAATAATAATAATAATAATAATGAAATGACAATTTATAACAGGAATATATATATATATATTGATTTATTTATTTAATTACAATATAATTATTGAATGGTAGAAACAGTGGAGAAATATGAGTGAGCCATTTTCCCGTACCCACCCACCCGACAAAGGCACCTGTTCCATGCCCTCTCCTCAAAACACGAGATGTTGGTGTCCACGTGGATCGATGTCCACGTCATCATTCGTGGGACCCAGTAGGATGCCCACGTGGACCACCGTCAACGGATTTGATGTGCGGTGGGTGTTGATACGTTTGTCACCGTTGGATTAGCTGCTCCGTCCCTCTTATGTTTTTTTTGGGAGTTTTATTATAGATTTTTACTATTTAATTATTTTTTTAAAAAAATTAAATTAAATAATTATTTTTTTTATATTATACTATAAATTTATTTTACATGCAAAATATCACATCAACCTTTATTTATATTATATTAAATAACTGTTCAAATTCAGCATTTTGGAATTTTTATAGTAGATTAAGAAATAATAGTTTTTTTTTGTTAGTGAAAGTGGGTAGAGATTTTGACATTCTGCCCTTTGATTTTTTTTATAAATTAATTGTATATGTAACGGTTTGTTTATAATTTAAGTAAAAGTCAATGGTATTTTGGTATTAATGCATGATTACTTTTTTTAAAATAAAAAATTGATACTTTAAAATGTGACAGACGAAATAGTAAAAATAGTACTTTAAATTGGAACGAAAAAAATATAAAACACATGTGATTTTTTAAATTTTCTAAAAATCCCTTTTCAATCCTAAAATTTCATATTATTTAGTCGTGATTTCAAAATATTACATAAAAAATCAATTAGTACTTAATATTACATTCAAATCAATATTAAAGCTATAAACCAAAAGGAATCACCAACCAAACATATCATAAGTAACATATGTATGTTCATACAAAAAATAAACTCTTGAACAATTCTTGAAAATATATATATATATATATATATATTTGCATCATTCATGATATTTATTTATTTTTCTTTATTATTTTTGGCATCATTCAAATTGTTTTAGGACCCAATCAAACTATTTTTGCATCATTCAATTATGTTTGGTATGAAAGCATTTTTATTAAGGTTATTTTTAATGTCGATTGAGAATAGGTTGTCGGAAGTTTCCACTTCATCGATAGTAAAATTGATCATTTATATTTCTTTCATCCCATTTGCTATACTAAATACCAAGATATTTTTACAGTTTACTTTTCATATTACTTTTCAAAAGTAAAATAGATATTATATTACTTTATTCTACTATGTATCTATAAAATACTAATTTACCTTAATCCATATACAAAAGTCAAATAAATAATTTATTAGTGAACGGACGGAATATAAATTTGAATGACATATGAGGTTTTTTTTTTTTTTTAACTCAATTTTTATAGGATGATGACCCGAAAGAAATTCTACAAAAAATTATAAATATTTTGTGGATGTGGATTCCCCGTTGATTGGTTAAATCAGATATGTTGTACTATATATAAACATATATTATCTATTTTTATTATACTTCATTCGTCTCTTAACAATCTATTTATTTTTTAATTTTGGTCTGCCCTATAACAAAATATCCATTTTATTTTTTAGTAATTGTACTATCTACGTAACATTACAAATACTCTTCCAATTTATAATATATTACACAAATGTCATTACTTTTATATCATGCATTACTAATAAGGTCACTTCAGTCTTTTCCCTTTTATTTTTACTATATATCAATATAATACTAATATTTCTAAAACTCCGTATAAAAAAAAATGTATGTATATATATATATATTCTAATTGCTCAAGTTCGTATCATGATCCAAAAGCATGAGACAATATCCATATTGTTCTATATATGATTTGTATCACTCTTTATTATTTTAATCCTTTAGGGTGTGTTTGTTCGGTGGATTGGATTTTAAATACACTGTTCATCTCAATTTTTTCTCTCAAAAAATGTCAAATCAAACACCTATTTTTTATTTTTTATATTATGCTAAAAATTAATTTTATATTCAGAACATCACATCAATACCTATTTATATAACATCATTTAACTATTCAAATTCAAAATTTTTACTATTCAAATCTCAACTATATACGGTCACCGAAAAAATCAGTTACTGGTAGAATATTGTTACGTGTACTAACCTGCATCAATAAATATACAAAAATAAATTTGTCGTTGACCCTATAACCTAGTCATGTCGTATTAATAAATATCATAATATTTCAATATTAAATTTTCTTTTAGCAATTATACATAACCAATATTTGTTCTTTACATTTACTACTAGGATTTAAAACATGTCTGTAAATTAAAATAAAAATAAAAATAAAATAAAATTAGGGTTTAATTAATAGTAATAGTATATGATGAAATATTAAGAAAAACAGACAGAAATCCAGGTAGTCTGGATTGGTGAGGAGATAGCATATAAAAGGACAAACCACTTTCCCACATATATTAATTATTTATTTAATTAATTAATTTTGGCATTTCCAACAATATGTGTCTTCTTATGGGGTGTTTTTTTCACTCTCCATATTTTATTTTATTTTATTTTATTTTCAAATTTTAAATTGATCATTTTTTTATTTTCAAGAAAGTGATCGGATCCCTAGTTATACGAGGACACATCTTGTTTGTCCCCCTCTTCGACAATATATATATATATATATTATAATCTGAAACTCCACATTAACCAATTAATTAATTATATATATTAATTTCTGAATCAAATTAGTATAGTGTTGATTTGACATAATTAACACATATTACATATAATAATGTAATATATAGTATAATATATTATTAATTTTCAGCGCGCTAAATATGTAAATATATACGGTACATTATAATATATGATATATATATATATATGAGCCGGTGTTAATTAATTCTCTCTCAGACACTCTAACCTCTTACTTACCAATAACACAAAATAAATTAATGAATCAAATCCAAAATGAAGACAATTAAAATAAATAAATAAATATAATTGCAAACAAAAGTGAAACAACCAAAAACATACCGATGCAAATGGCATTTATTGTCATGCCATGTTCAAGAGCTAACATGGGACCCTTATGCCCTTTCAATTATATCTCTGTCTTGTCTCTCACACATCATCTAGAGTGAGAAAATATACATACACACATATATATATATGAAATTAAATTATATAAGAAGCAATTGAAGGTGTGTTTAGGCCATTCTTGATTCACCTGCTCTAAAGCATATATCTATATATCATTGAAGTGGTTTTAGAGGAAGCAAACAACTCAAAAGAACCTCTACATTCCTTCCATTTCTGTCCACCATTAAAAAATTTTCTTGTTCATCACCAAGCTAGTACTTCCAAAAAGAAAGAAGAAGTTGATCTCTATCATATAATGAGGCCATGGATGTTATTCCTTGTCATACTTTTGTCGATTCAAATCCATGAATCTCAAGGTACATACCAAATTCCTTTTGTAATGATTGTTTCTTCTTTTGTACTTACACTAATTATTCCATTTCTTGGCTTTCAATTTTCTAACACAATTTTTTTATTTTCTTTTCTTTACAAAAGGTTCAAGAAGAAGATCCCATCACTTCAAGAACATCCAAGTAAGTTATCAATAGGGTTTAGAGTTTAGAATACTACTCATCCCTTGATTGTTTTAACCAAGAAATTAGGGTTTTATTACAAAGCTGATACCTTTTTTTTTAAAAAAATAAAATATTTTGACAGGAATTTCTTGTTAATGGAGTGGAAGAAACTAATGAGGAAGAAAAGTTGCAGCTGCATAGTTCAGGTAAAAAGAAGAGAAAATTAACTAGGGTTCAGAAGGGACCACACCACTGGTTACCAAGAATACATGAAGATTACTATGGGCCAAGATTTCACAGACCTAACCACCATTAGAGCTTCTTTTTTTTTTTTTTTGTGAGAAAAAAAAAAAAAAAAATATATATATATATATCCTTAGATTTCCCTCCACAAATTTTCATAGATAAAGGATCACATAAGATATATGATTGAACATCAAGAATGATTGTATTTCCTTATTTTTAATTTTTTTTTGTTTGTTTGTGCCCATTACTAATTTTTGTTTTTGAAATATTTATTGAGATGTAATCATTTTTGTGGATGAAAGGAAGTTGGTGTATTAATTGGTTGAGTTTGGGTAAAATTTTTATGTAGTACCTTTAATAAATATGTTTAAATTTACTGAATAAACCAGCTTGATATTATTAAAAAAAAAATGTATAAATCTTTATTAATTATTTCTGTGAATTATGCAATAAATTTCACATAAAATATATTTTATACATTTAAATTAAAAAAAATAAATAAAAAATCAAAAGGCACAAGTGATGTGAATCCATTTGTTGTTTACTTGCAGGAATGAAGAATAGAAAACTAAGTACGATCACTCCAATTTCCACCTCTCCCACCATTAATCCTAAGGTAATTATCAATTTGGCAACATTTCAAATGACTTTATTTTGTTTTCAAGAAGTATAAAAAATAATTATTTTTTTTTTGAAAAAAAATAAAAATTAATAATAAGCCAGACATTGTCTTGTTACAGAAGCACGACGAAGACAAAGTTCGCCGCGACAAAATAGGAAGAAAAGAAGAAAATCTAACGGTTAATCGGGCTTCATCGCGGGACAAGCGACGACAACCTCATCCGGCCCCGTATCCCGACACTCTAGACCTGTCTGAAATGGATTATTCTGTGGCAAAAAGAAAGCCTCCTATACACAATTAGGTATAATTTTGTAAGAGAAAACTATAGAGAAGAAAAGGGGTGGGTGGGGTGGGGTGGGGTGGGGTGGGGGTGGGGGGGTGGTATGTATAGCAATGGAGAGCATTGATGAAATGCTGCCATTAGGAAGATTTTGTGCATAATATATATATATACATACATACATAGATATAAGTTTGTGTGTGTAGCCATGTGTTGTTGGATTATTGTAGTTTTGTTCTCATGATCCAATGATAAGCACACTTCTTTTAATTATAGCTTTTGCTATTTAATGAATGTAATTGTAGTACACAAAAAGTACAATTTTTTTTTTTTGATATATACCATTTATGATAATATATATTCTCCGTCCCATAAATAAATATTTATTTGTTTTTTCACGTAATTTAGAAATATTAATATTATATTAGTATATAGTAGAAATAAAGTAGAAATGACTAGTATGCAGAAAATTGATACTTTGTTATGAGACGGACTAAAATGAAAAAATGAATACTTTGTTATGGGACGGAGAGAATATATATATATTGGGACGGAATCATATCAACATTAAGTATGATATTGTCCATTTTGGATTGAGCCTACGTGGATTTATTTTTGAACATTTTTCAAAATAATGTCTCATCCTAGTAGAGTTCATGTAAGATTTATAAGGTCACTACAAAAAAATAATATATTTGTCCCTAAAATTCACGTAGCTAACGTAATTCCGTTCCTAATTCCGTCTCTAATGTCATTAGTAACGGAAAAAGTAGATTTAGAGACAAAAAAAATTTGTTACAAAAATAATTTTTTCTTGTAGTGGGTGTAAATTTTTCTTTAAATCTTTTAATGTGGGACTTAAATTTGTATCCAACAATATACATTTTCTTTTCTTAAAAAAATATTTACTTAATGAGATGTCAATACATGTTTAATGTAATATTTTAAAAAGAACTTATGTTTTTATATGTAATTTTTATTTCTTAATATGATATAGATTTGCAGTCATTTGAGTGTGTATAGAGTAAACTCTTTAAATTGCAAAATATACGAAGAAGATAAATTACATTAAACAAGCCCTACGAAATAGACAATAATATAGGATAAAGTATATCGATATATTCTCTATGTCTCATTCGAAACGTATCCTTTTGAATTTCGTAGTAGTTAGAAAAAGAATAATATTATATTAGTGAGTGAAAATGTATAATAAATTTTAATATTTTTGTCATTTGATTTTATGATTATTTTTATTATAATAAGAAATAGATAATTTTGAGTGAAACTGACGAAAATGATAAAAAAAAAAAATACTTTTAACTGGAACAAATAAAATATTATTCTATTTTATTATAAATGTACAAAATATATTTACTCTGTTTGTGCAATTTGGGTTTACCGGCAAGGTCAATTTTAAGTTTAAATAATTGTTTGGTGATATATAATTATATATAAATATGATATTTTAATACAAAATTAATTTATTGTATAATATAAAAAATTTAAAATAGGTCTTTGATTTAATTTTTTTTCAAATTTTTTTTAATAAATAGTAAAAACTTCGACAAAAAAAAACCTACAACCATACAACACCCTTGTATTTTATATTTTTATTTATTCTATTAAATTTGTATAATATATATATGTTTTTTCGTCCAAAAGTAACAATGACTAATTAAAATCATATGCATATTATGTTGATAACTTTCAATTGCATAAAGATAAACCGGAATTTCTAATATAACATCTCTCTAATAAAAATAAATAAATATACGATGTTACCTTGCTGGCTTTTTTTTTTTTTTCATAATTTTCTAAGAAATTAAATTGTATGTTTATTTTCGAAAGTCACCTGCATATTATGTTCGTAGTTATTTTTGAACTAATATAATATTCTATATAGATTTTACGCTAATACAGATAATTTATATGCAATAAATAAACTATAGGATGTTCGCGTAATTTAAATATTACGATGTTTTACCTTTTATTGTAATAATGTTAACAAAAATTTACTATTGTCATCTCATAAATTGTATAAATAAATTAAATTTGCAAGGCTTGTATTGCTTCTCATATTGATATTTTGATACCAAACTTGTTTGGTTCCCCACAAATGTTTGTTTCCCAGCATGTGCTTTCATTTGCTTTGGACCAAAGTCTTGCAATGGTTGAAACTTAGATTTGTGGTTAGGAAATTTGATTGAATAAATTTATTTAATTGATATTTTTTATGATGTAAGATATATATATATATATATGGTTAAAATAAAATTAAAAAATATATACCTATATTATCTGAAAAATGATCTCAATAAAATATATTTAATATAAATATTGTTCGGTAATAAATAAATTTTTTATAAATTAAATAAATATGTATATTTATATGGTTAATATAAATTTATTTACAAAAAAAAAGACTTTTAAATATAAAATATATATGCTTATTTAAGTCTCAAGTAAACAGTTTTTTTTTTTTTTTTTTTTTTTTATAAGGAAAACAAATTTTATTTATCTACCCTTATTGAATAGATTTTTTTTCTAGTTTATTTACTATACAATTTTTATCACTTTTTTTAGAAAATATATTTTTTTAAAATGAAACATATGAAATTATTATTTAAATACAAAAAATAAATGCAAAATTAACACACTCTTATATATGTGCACTATTCACAATCCCCCTTTTCCTTGCTAAAAAAAATTATAATATTTTATTAATTAGTGGAAGTATGTAAGAGATTTTGATATTTTTTTATCATTTAATTTTATATATGAAATAATTGTATATGTAATAGTATATTTATAATTCAAAGTAAAAGTTAAATGATATTTGACATCTGTATAGGATTATTTTTAAAAAATAATAATAAAAAATAGATACTTTTGAATTAGACAGATAAAATAGTAAAAAGAGTATTTTGAATTGAGATAGAAAGAGTATACAAGTGTGTTTAGCTTGAATTTCAAATTTAAATTACCATTATTTAGTTCGTACGGTTTGTAATAAAAATATATTATTTTTAGATATCACATCAAAATATTATTTAAATCGAAACTCAAATCACAAACCCAAACCTAACAAGCCAAAAATCTAACTTAATTTTCATTTAAATTTTACAATTTCAAAAACATTACAAAATAAATACTTTCAAAATTAAATATAATTAAACAAAACTTAAATTTGTGCAAGTTGTTTAAATTTAGTTTAATGAAGTAAATAAATACTCCGTCTGTCTCACATAATTGTCCCTATTTTTTATTTTCGTCTGTTCCACATAATTTGTCCCTATTTTCTATTTTCTTTCGTCCTACATAATTTGTCCATTCCTTTTTTGAAAATATAATTATACACTTTAATCACATTTTAAATTTTAAATTTTATAATTTTTTTATCTTAATTAAACTATTTAGTTATTTTAATCTTAATCCACAATTATTTTTATTATACTATAATTATTTTTACTAATACAATTCTTAATTATTTACTAATTACACTTTACTTAAATTTCCGTATTTACAGTAATAGGCCTATAATACATGGGATGGAGGGAGTATTTTATTGATAATATAGTAGTACTTCATATTGATAATAGGTAGTCAATTAACAAATAAATTGATAGATTGATGTTGTAGTAATTAAAGTTTTTTTTTTTTTTTTTTTCCATGTAAGAATAAATATATATATTTTCTTTGTCCATAAAATTTTATGTTCATTTATATTGAATACAAGTTTCAATAACTATAATATTATATTGATTTATTATTGTTAAGCACAAAAAAAAAATAATAATAATAATAATAATAATAATAATAATAATAATAATAATAATAAGGTATCCAGAGTCAGTCGGTGGGTTCTCAGTCGGTTGGTTCTCAATCAGATAAGCAAGTCAGATGGTCCGCGGTCGGGCAAGCAGGTCGGATTATCCGCAGTCGGATAAATGGGTCGGTTGATACAAAGGTTGGCTGCTATGGGGGTCGGTCGAAAAAGGAAGTCGGGCGAAGAAAGGTCTGTTGATAGGTCAGACGATTGAAGAGACCAAATAGTGGTCGTTTGATGGGGCGACCAGTGAGTCTTTTGATCTGGCGACCAATTATGTATCTAGATTGGTCGGTTGGTCGGTCGTTGGGTTATGCGGTTGGCGATGCGGTTAAAGACATGTGTCAATGAAAGAGGCAGTTCTGAGTTCTGTAACTGGTGGGAACGGTTGGTGAAACAGTGACGGTTCTGAACGTTTTCTTCAAAGAATATTTAAGGATTTGGATCATCATTTGGCAAGGCATCTTCAATCAACTTCAACAAAGCAAAGTCAGATTTGGGATCACCACTTTAAATTTCAGTCTTTTATTTTCCAGTTTATTTTCTGTACTTACAGTGTTTAGAGATTCCTAATCTCAGGCACTAATTAATCAAGTTTAAGGATATTTTCTATATCTTTGAATTTTACTTTATTTTTGTTGAAAAAATACATCAACAAATTGGCGACCACAGTGGGAGAAAATTGCTGATCCATATGGCAAATTTTCAATTCCACAGTACAGCCGTTGGCTTTATCACGGCAGAAGAAGCTTCCCAACTACGGGCCGAATTGACAGCAGGTTTTCGGCAAATGTACGACCAGCAGATAGCAAATCTGCAGGCAATACATGACGCAATGCAAAACTTGATGGAGCAATCAAAATTCATGTTGAATTCGGTTCCTGCACCGCCAGAAATGTCATGCCCCCAAACGGACAACGCCATTCCTGAGCATATACCCAGTCAGACAGACTGGAGACAGGACCAAACAGGAGGACAGGCCCGACCAGGGACGACCGAATGGACAGAGACAGGTCGGCAGGATCACGACGCCTGGACGGACCATGGTCGGGAAGACCACACCGACTGGACGGACCATGGTCGGGAGGACCACACCGAATGGACGGACCGTAGTCGGGAGGACCACGCCGACTGGACGAATACAGATCGGGAAGACCACGTCGACTGGACGGACAAAAATCGGGAGGACTACGTAACCTGGACGGATACAGGTCAGGAGGACCCCGCCGAA